AGAGAGAGAGAGAGAGAGCAGGGGGAGAGAGAGAGACAGAGACAGAGAGAGACTGTCAGTTCACAGTAAAGGGGTAGGATTCATCAATCTCTGCAGTCTCATCTCAAACAAGCGGTCAGCCCTCCTCTGTTCCTCCACTAAGTCTTGTAGATTTGACACACCCTCCGTCAGAGTGAGCTCATATTTCTCCCCTTTCTCCTCCTCTGTATCAGTAGTATCCTCATCCATCTTCTCTGTGTCTTTTGCACCACTTGACAGCAAACTTCTAGCCTGTGATTTGATATTGGGAGTAAACGCTTCCAGTGACCGTGAGGAGTTGACAAATCCAAATCTTTGTCCTTGAGACAATCCGTGGCCCTTTTCTTGACTCTCGGTGGTAGCCTTGCTGGCATAACGCGCCCTCTGGCCACTCATAGCTCCACTCCCAGGGTCAAATCGGCTCAAACTTTCTTTTGGCAATGGTATGGGGCTGAGAGTGCTGTTCGCGGGGAGAGGCCCCTGTAATAACTTGCTGGACAGAGACTGCTCAAATGTGTCCAGTTTTGCTCGCTCCTGGGCAAAGCGTTCCTTTAGGTCTCTCCATGAAGGAGAAAGCTTTTCAGCATCTGAAGATAAGATTTTCACATGAATTTTGAGCAGGAATACAATGGGGTGGTATGGAAGGGTAATAGGTGAAGGTCAAGAAGAGGAAGCGAAACATGTGTGGCATCGTGGTGAAATCAGGCTTTCATCAAAATAATGGAATCGAGGAAACCAACATTATTCTGCCCGGTGGCGACATAAATAACAGTAGTCTTCCAGTAGAACAACAATGGATTTGCACGTCTCTTGCAGTAACTTAATGACAACCACCCCCATTCTCCTCTCAGAAACATAATTATCTTGATCACAAACACAGCGAATTCTAAACACATTCTTTATGAAGACAGACTATTTCATGTATACACACCCAATAGAAATTTATTCAAAACTTTTTGCCTTTTCCCCAATATTTTCTTTCTCCCTCTGATTCACATGCACTCATATCTTCAACACGGTAGAATTTATCAGAAATATTAAACGAAAGCTCAGAACAGCGAGCAAAAAGCAGTACAAAAGAATGCACAAACTCACCTGTCTGAGGGGAGTGACAATCTTTCCCTGCAGATGATAAAGTGTCTTTCATTTGTGAAGCTTCCAGCAAACTTTGGTCCCTTTTTACAGCAGATTCAACAACTGTTAGTTTAATTTGACCTGCCCCTGCAGATGAAAGAGAAATATAAGAAAAAACATAACTGTGTCCATTCCGAATGTCGTACATGTAGTTCACGAGCAGCTACAACTTTCTTCAACATGTGAGAGTAGAAGTTTTTTCTTTACTCATAACCAAGATACAGGTATTCAGAGATGCCAACCACAGAAAACCGAAATGAGTATTGGGAAATATGAAAATGTGTATTTTCAGGCGAAAATGTGTATTCCCCACGTGCGACCGACCGACCAGAAGGCTAAAACAGCACCTGGACATGGATGGCTGGTGCCTCTATAAATAAATCACTGATGGTCGACCAACCAGTAATAGTAACATGTTCAGGGTGTCCAGCAATATTTCCTGAAAAAAAATTACTAGCTCACCAGCTCGGAAAAGGGAGCACACACGCGTACAATATATACATGTATCCAGTCAACAACATGTCAGTGTTCAATGTTGTACTGGGGTCTTGTTTGACTTAAGTATTTCAGTCTATTATATAATATGTTCCTCTCATTATTACTATATAAAAAATAAATCCTGTTTTGAGGGTTCGGAAGGGTCTAGAACAAGAATTTCGACTATCAAGAACCAGTCTGGGTGTCATGATTCATATTATGAACTGACAGACTAAAATTATTGCTCAAACTCAGAGAAAAGCAATAACTTGAATGGCTCAAGTACTAGTAGACCCATGCACTGTGAGAGTTGTAACAACTGTGGTAGGGCAAGATGCAGTGACACTGAAAATCTGCCAGTCTTGAACAGAAAGCTACAACATACACTGTAGGTATAATTTACTATCACCAATCCAAGTAGGTATAATTTACTATCACCCATCCAATGAAACGCGAACACTTTATTTCAATAACACAGACTTGCAAAGTATGAGGGGTCCCGATTCCGCACATGGCCTGCACCAACGAGCGCTTTGCAGAAAGCTCTAATCAAAATTCTGAAAAGTGCTTCCAAGTTTTTGTCCTCTGTTGCCGTAAACCCCCGATAGTATCTTAAACCAAAAAAAAAATCAATAATCTCCATCCCTATTCCGTAGTCATATACTTCACAAGGCCGTTACTCCCACAAAGACGGTCTTTGCTCACACGATGCCGCATTTATTTGTGATGCGAATGCGCACAGGGTCAGTGACCGGTCACGATGGCGAGCCAGACAATCTAAAAATCGGACGACGCTTGTATTTTCTTTTCTTTTTTTTCCACAAGTGACAGCACAGCGACGAGTCAGAGTATTTATTACATTTTATTTGAACGGCGACATTGTGTTTATACTGCACAACCTGCATGCCACAAATGTTGCGTTATCAGACAACTGCTGGCAAACTTCTCGGTGGTAACGAAAGCGAAAGTAGATCTTGATTTTCCCAATCGAGCCTCGGTGTCACATACGCTTCCGCCTGCCGCCATAGCTGCCTTTTTGAGTGAAAGTGAAACGTACTCTCCAGACGGGGAAAAGATGAGCGAATATAATATCACGATCGCGACCGGCAATACTGACCACATCGGACTTGGATTTCAAATATTCCAGTTCTGCGATACTGATACTATTTTGACAAAAGATGGGACCTGAGTTAATTAAGTTTACTCGCCCATGCTGAATCTCGTAGTTTTCGCATTCCAGGATGCGTATCTTTTCATGAAAAGTCGTATTTGCGTATTTTCGGCCAAAAATCGTACTAAAATACGTAAAATCGTACTGGTTGGCATCTCTGGGTATTAAAAATCCCCCCAAAGCAATTTCCCCCCCCCCCCCCCAAAAAACAACCTTTTTATATTGCCAAAATAAGAAGTTGGTTTGTTGTTGTTTTTTTGGGGGGGTGCATTAGGGATGCGCCTAGCAGAAACAAACAATTTATTTCTAACAAGGCCTCTGTACCACAATGCCCAGTTTCAGTATCCGGCTTTTGACAAGACTGAACTGTAAATCGACAGGTCGACAACAAAGAAAGCTGGACTGACAATAGAGCAAGTATGACAAAAGATGCTACCCTATGCCAGATAGATTAACACCTGCTGGACCATACCAGTCAAGGAATGGTCAATTATATGAGTTATCTGTGATTTTGAGTTTTCCGTGTTTGTGTTAACTGAGCCCAACAGTACATCTGTCCCATGCACTTACGCGCTGTCTCTGTGTCACGCAGAGCGTCCACCCAGGCCACTGGCGCCTCCCAGTCCTCCAGCTCCTCTTCTTTGTAAAAGACCACAGCTTCTTCATACTCTTCCTCCTCCTCTTCATCCTCATCACGCTGGGAACACAGAAAACTTGCTTGAAAACACAGAAATCACAAAATTTTTCTTTCCAAAAGCAATCAGTTCTTCCACATAAAAAGACAAATGTAGAAAAATACACTTTACTAAAAGTTTCAAATTGTATAAAATTTGTAAGAGTTTTTTTTGTTTTTTTTTTAGAGGTGCAATGAAAGCCCGCATCACAAGAAAACTGCCACATTTCACTAGAAACAGATTAGTGCAAGAATAATGCTGAAAAGAAGAAGAAAAAATAGATCTCACACCCACCACCCCTTGAAAACTGCCAATTCTTCTGACAGGGGAAATAGGAGAATTAAATTCTTGTCCGACATCCCATGTTTGTCAAACTAAATAGCTCTCGGAAAAAAATTCACAGAGGAATCTTGCTGGGCCATGACCAAACTCAAAACAAAATAACAGCCATAATGTTGAAGACTACAACCCAAAAAGGCAAAAAACAGCCATATAAAAACAGAGAAAAAAAACTTATTTCCATTTTGAGCAAATGATAAGGTGAAAATGCTACAGCCAGGACTAAATCCTTAACTATCTGTGTAAAGGAAAGAAAAGCACACCAATATGAGTGGATTCCTCTTCCTCCTCTTCACTTATTACCGCCTCATCTCCCCTCTTCTAGCTTGTTGCTAAGAAATCAACTGACCTAAAAGCATACCAGCAGGAGCAACTCCTCCAAGAAGCAAGAAAATACTTGCACATACACATTTAAAGGTCACTTTGGTGTACCTCCTCCCCTTCTTTCTTCCTTCTTTTTACTTTTACAACTGAGCAAAGTGTTATATGGCTTAAAAGACCGGTTTGTGTTTAGTAAAGTGGCATACAAAAAAAAAAAAGACATGAGGATTGACATGCTTGAAAAAAGCCAAAGAGCAGACAGATATTTAGGGCAAAAGTTGAGCATACTGCATGCAAATCTATTTCACCTGCAAACAATGAGAAGAACATCGCAATATGAACCACAGCAGAAAAAGTAACAAAACATTACCTCTACTTCTATCCTGAGATGCCCTGTACGTAGAGAAACCAGTTTGTAATGAATGCAGGCATCAATGAGATCAGTCCACGCCATGTTCACGTACGTCGGCTCGCAGGGTCCATCTTCAGAGGCCAGCCAACAGAACTGGTCAAATGTCTTTTTGGCATAGGTCAGAAGATCAGAGACTCTGTAAGAAAGAATAGTTGAGTTGCTCTAACTTAGAAACGTAGTCTACAACCAGGCCTGGGGGAGCAAAAGTCAAAATGTGCGGCAAAAAGAGGTGGAGAGATAGTAAATTTTCGTTGTTCTAGTAGTATATCAAGTGTTCTTCTTGAGTAAAAGCATCTCAAGGGTATCACAAATAATAATGAGTAATAATTGCGCACATGAAACATTTTTATTTCGTAAATCATAAGCTATTACAAGAGACAGAATAGTATAACCACCTGAGAACGGCAAAGGGGCTGACAAATGAACAAATACTGCTAGGTGATGTTAAAACCTGTCAAAATAACAGCACAAAAACAAAAAAATGTAGTACACAAACAGCTTCACAAACACCATGTACAATGCCTTTTTCCTAACTTGTGCTTGTTGACCTAATCATAATGAGCAGAACAAAAGACAAGTGACATCTCTTCCCTTTCTTGCTTCTGTCTAATAAGGCCTACATATATTTCAGGTTTTAATTTAGAAAGAAAAAAACAACAACACGACAATTAAGATAGATCTACATTTCTTTTTACTTTGCGTTATCAAAAAAAAACTTTTAATAAAAATCACCAATGTGCTTTGAGTTCCAATTTCTTCTTTCATGAATAAATGAGAATTCTGTAAGCAACTTTAAATACATTCAACTGGATCCCCCGGAAACTAAAATGTAATTCAAATTACATAGTCATTACAACAAAAGAGATACACCTTTCACATAATTTGCATTGAAATAGACCACTTATGAAGTCAAAGAAAGCACAGGGGATGAACAATTTTGATAAGGATCTTCAAGTAGAAGCCTCACCACTCAAACTTTATCTCTGACACATACACATAGTCACATGCATTAAATACTTGCCCTAAACAGGATAAATTTGCTGTGAACTAGTATGACACGCATGGCTGCACATCTAAGAAAGGTAAATGCACATACAGCAGGAAATTCGAGATGAGTAATGGCACCATATTTTAAAACATAGCTTAAACAAGTTTTCCACCATCCTCCAAAATGTAAAAGGTAAGAAAAAAAAGTCTGGATCATTCTCTTTAAAAAATTTCTGAAATGTACAGAAAACTGGCATTCATTCCAATGGGAACAATCCAGTAATTCACTCACTGGTGATGCAGGCTGATCTTGGCCGAGCCACTGTCCTTCTTGGTCACCAACGCAACAAAGTTCCAGACATCCTGGCATACGCTTGTCCAGTCCTGTGCTTCCAGGTCTTGGTAGCGGAACACTGGCAGGCGTAATCTCGAGACCAGTTCGTAGAGATCTGACAGGTGCGACTCAGAGTTCCATGAAGACAGAGGTTCTCCTATGACAAAGAAAGGACTAGCTAAAGAAAGGACGAGCAAGAGATGCAGCAGTACAGGTCATGTTTTTGATTTATGGTTTACAGCATGACAACATTTCTCCAGCGACAGATTAGGAGAAAAGGAATCTGTTGTTTTTCTTTTCAGTTCTCAACCTCAAGTTCTTAAAAAGCAAAAATCGTTCCCCTAAAAATAATTTAATGAAAACAAAAATGAACTGCAAAAGAAAATATTGAAAACATTGAGGGAGAATTAAATAAAAAGTATGATAATTTATCTCTTTAACTCACTGAAGACTGGGCCTTTTTCGGGTCCACATGCGTCGAAGACTGGCATTTTGGGGGGTATTTCAACATTTCAAACAACACCCTTCCAAAATACATACAATCACCATTTTTACACACATAATACATCTAATTAGGCCCAGTGTGACACAAAAAAACAGAAAGGCAACATTTTTTATAGTTTTTTAGAAATGATTTTTTGAAAATGTGCTAAAAGTTGTTGCTCGCCAAAACTTTTTGACTAATGTCTTGTGTTTAAAAGAACAAACAACAACACCCCCCCCCCATATTAACATTGTGTGTGTGTCTTTTTATTGTGTTTTGTGTTTCAAAATGAATAAAAAGTCCAAGTCCAAACTCATGAATAGGCAGGTAATCCATATGATAATCCTTATGTATTAGCTGTCTAATCCACTTCAGTGAGAAAAAACAGGGCTCCAGACCAAGTGGAATTTTGCATTTGAAAGCCTAGTCTAGATCTAGAACACTCTCTATTAGAATCAATGCTTTGATGCCCATTTACATTGAAATCAGGACCACCAGGGTCTAAAATATCATAATCAGAATTTTCTGAACTGTCAAAGTCGTCAAACACTAGAAAAATGTTTGCTTTTTGGTGCTGCCAAGTGTGCGCTCTGGTGTTGCTCCTTATTTCCTATCAAATAACTCTCGTCCTGATCTCTTCTTCTTCTTTTTTTGTGTTTGTTACTCTCTTGTAACACCTAATCTTCGGCACTTGTTATACGATCTTATGGTGTTGCAAGTACCATAAAACTCTTACTAAAGCTATACGTGCTGCCAAAGTATTGCGAGAAAAGACATGTCGGAAAAACGCAAGTAGGGCCTCAGTGTGACTAACTTACTTTCGGGTCGATAACTCAATAAGTGTCCTGCCAATTCCAGTGAAACCTCGTAGGAAACGAAACAAAGGTCGACAGCACGTCAAGAGACGGATCATGCAGCGTTTGTGCGCATACTTTACCGAGGAGACAACACGAAACGTGCTCGCAGGGGGTGCTTAAACTGCCTCTCGGGAAAATATTGGGGCTCGCAAATGCTGCGTGAAACATATCCAGTGAGTTAAAGGCTTTCCCACACTTCTGGATATATTTTATGATCAAGGTCAGTTTCCATAGCAATACCAGTATTATTAATCCATTAAAGAGTTGTAGGGTAAAAGTCTAGGGTGGTTGGAACACAATAAAGGTAAAACATGAGTAACAGTAGTAACAAGTAGGAGGTAACTGCATCAGCAGAGCACCAACCAACCACGAGCAGAACAAATCAGTACCAAGCAATCGACCAAGACTAAATAGTAATATACCAACAAGAAGCTAAACAATCAGACCCCACCGCACTATCCACCAATCGTCACCAGCATGAAATGTTACCAAGAGCCAAGGAAGCTGAGCTGTCAAATTCCGGCGAGGGCCATGACAGGTCAGTCAGAGAGCTGGACGCACACACCATGGCTGTGTGTTCTATGACTGTGTTGTACAAGGAAACTAGTACATTTGGAGACTGTGAAGGAAATGAGCAAACACGTTAATTAAAATACCCATTAAAAACAAAACACTAACTAGCATGATGAGAGTAAAGTCTGATGTGAAAGCATTGCTGGGATGGAAAATATAAAATCAAATTGAAATTTCAAAAAGAACAAGTAAAACTTTGAGAATATTTTTTTTAATTAATTAGTCGGAAAACAACTTGAATTGTATGCAACATCTGCCCAAACCCTCTTATTAAAGAACAAAACCCAAAGAACACAAGCACACAAAGTTAGGAAGGCAGTCCGAGATTCAGACAAGTGCACATTCGTTCAATTTGACGATCTATTAGGCTGGATTACAGTGTGCATGACCTCAGTTTAAATCCTAAATGATGCATTCTTAAACTTGGACTATCTGAAACCATTTTGCTATGCTGTACCAAAGATGAGAGTCAAATCAAATGTCCTGTCTCGCAAGTCGTAAAACAAACATGAAAAAGCTACACAACAGATGGAAATAAATCAGAGGTCTAGTACTTATAAGTAACAATATAGAATTGAAAGGGACATTATAAACTCATACCCAGACCTGCCACTCTATGAAATCTAAAAATCAGGATTTTAGAGTTAAAAAATCAGGATCTGGTGAAAAAAATCAGGATCAACGGCAAATCAGACATAAGGGGTACTGGGGAAGGGTTCCCTTTTATGAGGCAAGTATGCAAGAGAAATCTGTTGCAGGAAAAAGTTCACGTTTGGGCCTCTAAATAGAGGGCAAACTGAAAGACAGCATTACTCGAGTCGGAGTTGGATAGACAGAGGGAGCGCAGGTTGCATTAAAGCTGAAACTCTCGTAGTCTTGAAAATAGCTGACACATAACTCTAATCATCCATGCAAAAAGCCTGCGTTTTCATATAGTAACAATGTTTGACTTCTATCGCATATACACTCAAGTGAAAAAAAAAGATCGAGCCAAGGTTTTTCATTTGTTTCTTTAAAAAAAATTATTCCTTTATCCTCAATCAGTACATGTATCACCAGAGCTGGTAGTAACGGAGTACAAGTACTCCGGTACTTGTACTTACGTTACAATTTTCGGTACTTTTACTGTACCCCGGTACATTTTTTAAACCAGTACTTTTACTGTACTCCGATACTTTTTATAAAAGTACTTTTGAGTACTTTTTAAGTACATTTTGAGTACTTTGGTAGCTTAATGAAAGGGTAAGTGCAGGCATTTCTGATCACAATTTACGGAACAAAAACCCGATCAACCGCCAAGAGTTAAAAGTTGAGATCAAAGAACGGCCCGTCGCCTCAAAGATCAGCCACTATCGTGAATGTGATCACAAGCGTTGTAAAACTTCTTGAAACGGTACAGTGTTTGCTCCAGACGGGATCACACCAAGATGTGAACTGACCGATGCGTTTCTTTTCCCCAAACATCGCACTCGCATCTGACCTCACCACCTAAACTTACATCACTCCCTGGGTGGGTAGGGCCTACAAGTTCGCTCCAGGCGGGATCACATCAAACTGTGAACTCTTCCCTGACCATTGAAAGCAGTTTTTCCCGAATTTGCGAGACAACCTGAATTTTAATTAGTGTGGTCACATCGTAATGGTGCGTAACGACAAAGGAGGTTGGGGGGGGGGGGGGGGGGGGGGGGGGACTCAATCAGAGATGGAAAGCTAACATTGTTGGACAGGTAAAGGGGAGGGGCAACTGTATAAACGTAGATAAAGATCTCAAGACTCACGATAGGCTAATGAGTGTGTATATATATAATATTATTTATGGCATGCCTCATGCCACTGTGATTGGTAATCAAGGTTGACCACTCTTTGCTTGCCATATGTCATAAATCCACCCAGGGGTCACGTCAGTTCATGGGTCACTGTAGATTCTTCTTTGGCTAAGATCCCATATTTTCCTTGCTTCCGAGCACTGGGATCTTAGGCGGAGACTACTGCAGCAGAGAACCTTTGGTTACACTACACTTACTAGACTCTAGGAAACTATTATTGTATTTTGGTTTGCCGTTGGCGCCGTGGACTACACAGTGTGACCAAAATCTGTCAGACCACTATAATCAATTGAAACTGAAACTGTGTTCTCAATGTGTATGTAACAATTTTTAGGCTGCCTAAATTTCTTTTAAACTTTTTTTGGGTGGTTTTTGCTTAAGGCTACATTGATTCCTTGAGGATTTGTTAATGAAGAATTCAATGCACTTTTCCATTTCTATGCGGGCCATTTTCATCAATTTTATGTTTTCTTAAGAGCAACTTTGTATCTACATTTTTCAATTTGGATACTCTTTCTGTAGAACTTTCCAACCTCTAGGACTGACTTACATTTGATCACATTGTCTTGCTCAAACAAGTTCTATTCATAATAGCACTTACCCACTAGTTGCGTCTGTTCGTTTGGGTTGTTTTTTGTTCAACTTCACGGACCATTTCCACCGTTCAGTGCGTACATTGTATATTCAAATGCTTTGTATACTGTTTACTTTTTTAGTAATAAATAACCTAATTTGTCAAATATACTGGATAAGTTATAAAATATGATGTTTTGCATAAGCGCTGAAGTGTTTTAGCATATTAGCAGAAAGTACTCAAAATGTACTCGTAAGTACTTTTTTAAAAAGTACTTGTACTCAAGTACATTTTATAGGAAAGTACTTTTACTGTACTTAAGTACATTTTTTAGATTGTACTTAAATTTGTACTTAAGTACTTTTTAAAAAGTACTTTAACAGCTCTGTGTATCACGGCACGCACTTTAAGCCCAAGTGTCAAAACGTTACCCCCCCCCCCCCCCCCGGTCATCCACACTGGTTAAGTCCCGAAAAACACCTCGACCAATGCCACCGGTATGAATGAACTTTGTTGACCCTGACAGCCGACGGTCCCCGACACACGCGCTACTCACACGTTCGAGGTCATGTCACGTGATGCGAATGAGCGTTTGAAAGCTCCTCTGACAGGTCTTGATGATGGGCCCGGCTAACCAGAACTCAGACGAAGCTTGCTTTTAAAGCAACGGCAGAACAACGGTTGATTTTAGTGGAAATAACGTTCGTGAGTCAACAACTAGATTCGGCATTAGAAAGTAGCGTTCCAAGTTCCTGCCGATAAAAAATCCAACCAGTGCTTCCAACCAAAAGAGATTGCAGAACTTTTAATATTTTTTTCTAAGAATCGGTCGCAACAGACGCAATGACAAAAAATCAGGATACTGGCGATCGAAATCGGGAAAATTGGGATGCTTGAGATTTGGGGCAAAAAATCGGGATAAGTGGCAGGTCTGCATACCACAATTAGATCGGAGATCTAGTACTTATAAGTAACAATACAGAATTGAAATGGAGATTATTAACTTATACCACAATTACATTGGAGATCTAGTACTTGTAAGTAACGATGCAAAATTGAAAGGGACATTATAAATTTATACCACAATTAAATTGGAGGTATAGTACTTATAAGTAACAATACAGCATTGAAAGGGACATTATAAACTCCTACCACACAGCACCAAAGACATGCAATCCATCCACAGTTTACCTGGTGCAGCTGTTGGTGCCTGTGGCGTGTGCGCAGATCCTGGTACACGGGGGCCTTGTACATCTCCACCACAGTGTCTTCCACAAAGTCCGAGACGGGCTTCACCCTCAGCCGCGCTGGAGTCGGGATGTGACTGGCTGTGAAGCGCAGGCAGTTGCTCAGCTGAAGAAAAAGATTGGTGGAGGTGAATGTCACAGCTAGTCAGAAAAGTCAGACCACTAAATGTTATATTTTGTCAGGAGAAGATACAGACAAAGCAAAGTTTAAGAAAAATAAAAGAAGGTTCAGTCAAAAGTGTCAAAGGTGGCCACCCATTGTTGAGGAGAAAAGTGGCTGTGTTAGTCAGGTGGCCATTTTACAAAGTATAATTTTAATGAAACAAATATGGTACCAGAAACTAAGTTTTCAAAGTAGCTGTATGCCAAATGTACCTGTTCCATTTGAAAGGCCTATATCCACTGAGCATTTTGGTACCATTCTTTAACCTCTCAGTCAATTTTAAAGAAAATGGTAGTTGTCTAAAATTTAATCAAATTTGTCAAAGTCAGTAACTGGCTCCAACCCCATGTTTGACAGATAATAAAAGAGTACCAAGTGCACTAAACATCTCCATATTAACAGAGTACAATCACTATAACAAATATATGGAGCCTAATTTTTTTCAAGACTGTGAGATCATTACAAATCAGTATTTTATCGCCTCAAGCACGATGATCTGTCATTATTTCGACAAAAACACCAAGCGTTGACCCAGTCGGCGCCGCACTGGCCCCCGCGGTGAGTGAGTCGGCTCTATACTGTAGTGTACTCCGCGTGCGGGGTCACATGTTTTGTGAGTCCCGCGGAAGGATTGATGAAAAAATTATTCCACGCAAATTACTTTATTCTAATAGAAAATGAACTAATCTTTTAATTGATACCTATTTTGAGCCGGTATTTTACATATTTAGTGTAAAAAATGATCTTTTGAAATTATGACGATATTTTTAAAGGCTTTCTATGTAAACGGCGAAGGCCAAAAATATACCACAGGAAAGCCCATTGAGAGCTCTACAGTTCTCCGCCAATGAAAAGACGGTATTTAATGATCCCTCGTTCCGCAAAGCATTTGAATGCACACGTGTCAATTTTTTAACCGGGCCAACCACGCATTCCGACCGTGAGGGGCTTCGCTTTCCTCGGCGATTCTCCACCTCCTAATAATCGGACATATAAACAACTTACACCATTGTAAAGAGGAAAAGCTGAACTTTTACAAGGTGTATGGCATTTGGTGTTTTATAGCGAAAGAGCAAAGAAACAGCGATCGGAAATACCCCAATTTCACCGATACCACACGGTCTGAAGGCCGCGAGTGCCCGCGAGGCTGTGTTTATGCTACCTAATGCAAGAGAGGAAATGGAAAGTGGCCATATGTACAGGTAATTGTCTAAGACAGGTGGCCATTAGAGCAGGTTTGACTGTACACTATGTTTATTTTCAGTTTTGGTAGGAATTAATTTTTATTTTTACCAGGTGGCGGCCAAAGCCTACTCTTCATCGATTTCACAGCCTCAATGCAACAACCAAAGGTTCTTAAAGGTAGGACACTATATTCGATGTCCAACTAGTACATGATTTCACATATGCTGGGCTCCTTCCTGCATGCAGAAATTCACCCTATACTACGTGCACAACCATCAAATATGGGAGGTTCTTTGAGTCAAAGCATACCCCCCTCCCAACCATTGTGTTATAGGTATGTATATGCGATACTTTTTCATCCATACCTGCTCAGTCCACTCATTGTAACAATCGGCAGGCTGCCGACCTTGACCCACGTAAGGCTGTGCCAGATGGACAGCACTGACCCGCTGACCTTGACCCAGTCCTTCTAGATCCAGGTGCTGGCTGACCTCGCTGACTGCAACAGTAACCCGTGCTGACCGTCGGGGCAGGATAATCACCAGGGGGACGGCGGGCACCTTAGGCTTTTGTTTCAGAACCTGATGTAGCCGCCGCTTGTCTTGTTGCCAGAGATTCTGTGAACGACCACAAACATGTACACTTCTGAAGCCTTTGTTTGGTCGTTTGTTTTCTTAGTAAAGAGAAGCTCATGGACACAATAACAAAAGTCGAGCAAGAAGGAAAATGTAAGACATACACACAGAAAAACTTCTTTTCATACGAGTGTTAGAGCACTTCTAACACAACTAGGTCAAATAAGTGCCGAAGATATGTTTTGTTTTAGTAAGGTTTTTACAGCGCTCGCATAAGGTCATATGAGTGCTAAAGTGCGGATGTCAACAGAGAAGTCCAAATGGAGAATCAGGCTTACTCTGCTCACCTCTCTAGCCTCAACAGCACAAAGTCTGCTTCGACTACCAAGGCACCCCGGAAATAGCAGTTCATAAGAGAGAGACAAACATACAAAAGAAGTAGAGGAAAAATGAAATAGTAAGGATTAGGAAAGAAAAAGCAGCAGTTCCTTGTAAGCAGTTCAGGCACAGTTATGAGCATTACATAGATCTATCAGTAGGGTTGGGGCGAGCGGACGGACGGGTTCGTTACTCGCGGACTCAGTCAGAGCGAACGGGTAATGGACGGCCATGAGAGCCAACTGCGAACCTCAAGACAGTTCGTTTTTTGGGTCCGCTCCACAATTTGACTCTCTCAGCGAGCGGACTACAGACCTCAAGCCTCAAGTCAGTTCGTTTTTTGGGTCTGCTCCACAATTGTATTCACTGGGCGGGCGGGCGAACGGACCAACTCTAGCAGACGAGATACTCGACGCGAGATTAGACCCGTCGTCTATTGTTTGTTAATTAGGCCTGATGTTTCAAACCACTAGCGGTGCCACAGGGAGTGAGAGAGGCTGGTGACGTAGTACTATGTGTGTAACCTTTCACCTTGTGCGTGGGGCACACCACTGTGTACGTTCCAATTATCTCAAAGGCCGGGGAGGGGGGAGGGGGCGCGGAAATTTCCACCAAGAGCCATGAACGCCGAGCTACAATGTGAGACAGGAGGGTGATTTTTTAATTTTTGTTTTTGCTTTTTGGGGGGGCGGGGGGTGTAAGTTGTAGACAATGGAAGGAGTCGTTTCTGTCCGCCCGCCCGCTCGAATACATGGAGTCTCTCGGTCCGCCCGTCCGCTGGCTCGCTAAACGAACTGTTGTCTCTGTCCGATGTGTAGCGAGTAGCGAACTACTTTTCACAAACGGACGGTTCGTTACCCGTCCGCTCGTTTGCGGGTAATGCCAGCGGGTAGTTCGTTACCCGCGGACGTTAATTTTGCGAGCCCGACCCAACCCTATCTATCAGCCCATTTAAAATTCTACTGAGCATAAGAACATGTTAATGTCCCCCCTTTAGGAATGGCCTAAAGACCCTTTAGTCAGTAGCACTGCCCTGCGGGGTGTTAAAGCCTTTGTTTGGTTGTTTTAGTAAAGAAAAGCTCATGGACACAATAGTTTAGCAAGAAGGAAAAAGCAAGACAAACAGACAGAAACTTTTTTTCATACGAGTTTTCAAGCACTTGTAACACAACTGGGTCAAATAAGAGCTGAAGACTAGAGGTGTTACAAGAGAATAACAAACACACAAAAAAAAAGGAGAGACAAGGACGATAGATGTTTAATAGGAAAGAAGGAGCAAAGCACACCACAGCATCCACCAACCACCCACAGACAGTAAGAAACAAAAAAGGGCAAGACAAACATGACCTTTTAGTGGCATCCTCCACCCACCCACTTTCTAAATCCTGACCAGTTCAACCACTACATTCCCTGAAATCTGAGAAAACTTGAAGGCATAATTATCTAGAGCCACAAAATAATAATAATGAATAATAGTGGATTGCATTTATATAGCACATATCCACTTATGCAATGCTCTACACGCTTAACATGAAACATATTATGGAATTAGAAATCAATTTTAAAGGCACACAGTATTACATACGTGCGCACACACATATTCACGCACGCACGCACCCACACACACATACATACATACATACGCACAAACAAACTCACCACGATCTACAGCTTGGACTGTCTAATCGAAATATGATGAAAATAAAATGGGTGTCAAATGTAAAAAGACACATATTCTCACCTGATCCTCCATTAGCTGCTCCACAGGTGAAGTAACAAAAAGAACACCCGTGCAGCCCTTCAACACGCCTTCCTTCAGCACCTTCAGTTCATGAGTGTCATTCCAGTGTCCATGGAAGCAGCGCACACAAAGCCGCAGAGTTGGACCTCGAGCCCTCTGGGCCCCCAACTGGCAGTGATAAAGACTCAACACCTCTCCCTGTGGATAATTCAAATTAATAAGAGGTTAAAGTATGATCTCTCCCCCAACCCCAAACTCTCCAAATGAAATGTGCTTGAATTAAGGTGCAGATTTGGTTCACCATGAGGATCAACAATAGGCTGTAGTTTTGTCTTAAATTAACAGGAAACAGTGGAAGATTAGCATTGTGATGCTCGAAGGTATTGTGTGTGAGTGTGTGTGTGTGTGTGTGTGTGTGTGTGTGTGTGTGTGTGTGTATGTGTGTGTGTGTGTGTGTGTGTGCATGCGTGCGAGCGTGCATACGTATGCATATGTTATACTTTACTTTAACCAAAATATAAATAAGTTACAGAATCCAGTCATTGTCATTGGAGAGAGTCCTTGAACAAGACATAAAATCCAGCTCAACAACAGGGCGCTGTGTCGTTTTGAGCAGCTGTAGTGTATTTGTGCCATTCAATTTGCTGATCTGTCTTTTCCTTTGTACTCTTGACATGATGTGTCAAATTGTATGATCAGTAAATCTTTCAACTAGGCATAGCATTATGGAGTTGACAATCATTTTAACAAGTGAATCTGATAAGGACAAGAAAATCGAAAAAGACAGATGAGCACTTGGGGAGCAGACTCTTAATACCACCTGTTTACTAGTACAACTGGCAATCTAAAGTCTTCTCTATTGACAGCATGATATTTTTGCAAAATAATACATTAAAAAATTACAGGGAAAAGACATTTATCTTCTACCTACCATTTCTGTGTAGATACCAATAATGCTTACATTTTTTACAAATCCCATCAATATTGCTTCTATAAATGAATGAAAATTACCCAAAGCTTCTTAGAATACGGAGCTTGGTTATCTTTAGTGAATTTAAAAGTACTTCCGAAGAATATCTAGACCAATTGACATACAAAAAACAAAACAATCTAATACTTCAGAAATCAGATTGGGTATGCCAAATGTATTAGCTCAGGAAAATCTGGTTTCATAGTACACATTCCCCCCAAAAAGAATCAGACCATTAAGTATATTTCAGAAGAAGCCCTATCAGTAGCCTTTCCCTTTTTCTTACCTGGTATCCCGGTGTTTCTTCCAGAAGTTTGTCACGATCTCCGTCTTTGCACAGCTTCGCTCTCAGCCAGTCTATGAATTTCTTCTGCTCCTCATCTTGACAGAGTTTTTTGTTGGGCACAGACATACAGAGCTTCCAGTGTATGGAGTCACAGTCTGGCTCTGAAGATATGGAGACAAAGGCTATGACAATATTGCAAGACATATCACTACCTTAGAATCACGTTTTATATGCTCAGTACCTAGTTTTGAGAAATTTGACATCCAAAGTTTTGAGTTTCACAACAAGTCAAGCTTTTTCAAATACAATTATTTGAATATCTTGATAACGACTCAGAATAATCTCTGATCTCATGGTCTTAATAACTCAAAAAACGGCCAAAAATATCAGATAGAACTTTGTAATTTAGAGCCAGCAATATACAGGGTATGGCGCAATAATGGTTAACACCTATATATACTCTGTAAATTCATTTAGAATGCAGGACCTCTGATTTCAAAGTCTGCCTCCAATGGAACCAAATCTAGACAGTAAAGAACCTTGAAAACTCTGAAATAGCATCAAGTTAAAAAAGTCTCTTTTGGTATTTGAACCAAGGAAATCCGTAAAACCTTGGTTCACCCCAACAGTCAGAGTTGACGCCTGCCTCCTAAACCAAACAAATTGCATCAATACGGGCCCAAGAAACAAACAAAAAAAGTACATGAACACTCCAGCGACAGGTAATCTCATACAAGTAAAAGACCTTCCCGTCTACTCCTAAAAACTTCTACTCCATACAGCCAGATGTTTGCATAAAGCATAATTACCCCTACCGCACAATCTATGAGGAAGTTAAAGATGCTCAGAAAAAAAGAAGCCAAATGTAGGCACTGACCTATACAGTCTGCCTCCCTCCACTGGGCGAAAGCCCTGTGTAGCTGTGTGCCCAGAGTCTGCACTATGTCCAGCGGCTGCCACATGCGCAGACCCAGGAGCATCTGATGGACGGACGCCATGGACAGGCTGGCTGTCAGCTTAAGCTGTTGTTGGATCACATCCATGGGGGATGACACATACAGGCGGGCCCTAGAAACACATGAAAAGTTTGTTTGAATAAAAGCAAAACCGTTGACGCGATAACCGTCATTTCGTGCAGGGGGGGAAAGAAAGACAGGAGCAATAGAAGGGAAGAACAGAAGTAGGAATTATCAGTGCCGCCCTTTAATCAACTGCACAAGCTCTAGAAAGACACATGGATAAATACGAAGAATTTCGGTAATCACTGTGAGAGAAAATGCACAAACAGTACTGTTAGAACATTAGACAAATTAATAGACAAATGAGTTATCATCACAAAGCACAAAAAAGAATGTCCAAAAAACAAGAATAAATTGAAAAAAACTAAAGGATGACCATAGCACAAAATACTCGTAGGTGAGTTCAAGAAAGAGAGAGAGAGATAAATACACAAACGCTGCTGAAGAGATGACTTATGGTATATGGCAAGTCGACTCAAAATGCACATGTCGAGTCACGTACAGGCTACAAAAAATTAAGAAATAAAAAGAAGCAGAAAGACTTCAAGGAGAACAAAATATTTAGATGTCAAAAAAAACTATCCTCCTATGACTTGATCTACACTATACCTCGTGCCATTGAGTTCATACTGGAATCAAGCGGTACATCATAATAAGACGACAAAATCGAGACAAGGAAAATAGAAGACAAAAGAGTGGGACAGACAGACAGAATTACAAAGGTAGAGCAAAGAATAACCTAACAGTGCACCTTCCAACTGTCTGCTGCAATTCCCTTTATTAAGTTTAAAAACTAAAATTTAAACAAATAAACATTCAAAAGTAAAGCATAACATTTAAAAGAAGACATGAAAAGATAAAAAAAGGACCTTTTTACTTCAGGTTACCATGGTACTAAGAACAAACACGCAACATACTGGCATTCTAACAAAATTTCAAACCCTTCAGTGCTCAGCCATTTGTAGGCAAAGTATGACTCCTACCCTAGTGATTCAATTCATATTTATACAGACGGGTCAGCCTTCAACGGAACTATAAACGCAGGCTTTGGGGTAAGAATTGAACATCCTGACAAAACATGTGAAGAGCTATTTGACGCATGTGGTACTTCTTGTACAAATTACGAGGCTGAGGCTGAGGCCATCGCCATTGAAGCAGCAATCCTCCACCTGACCAACATTTTCATAACATATCCAAACAAAATCAAGAACACTATTATCTTCACAGACGGAAAGTCAGTACTCCAAGCTCTGGAAAACATGAATCTCGAAAGCCCAGCCTGCCTATCTGTGGCTCAAACAATCAACACCTTCCTACAGACCTATGCCGTCGACCTGACACTACAGTGGATACCTGGCCACAGCAACATCCCAGGAAACGACAGAGCAGACACCCTTGCCAAGAAGGGAGCATCACAAACACAACCACACAACCCAGTATCACAACAGACAGCCAAGAACATCATCAAATGCAACACCAGGGAACAGTGGCTGAATGGATGGGCAATGGGCAAAACTGGAAGAACTGTATTTGCACACATGACAGCCCCCAACTCTAAAGATGCAATAAATTCCCTGAGTAGAAGAGAACAAGTCACAATATTTCGCCTGCGAACACAACACATACCACTAAACTCCTACCTTAATAGGATCCGCAAGGATACTCCACCCGACTGCCCGTTGTGCGACTGCCAGGATGAAACAGTACCCCACCACCTCTTTAACTGCCCTGCACTTTGTGACCTGCGTAGCACCTACCTACCTGCCTCCCCAGACATCGGAAACACTCTATACAGCGACAAAGCACAGCTGATTAAAACCTGTCAATTCTTTGCCATATCGACAGACCGAAGGGCTAGAACCCAAATGGCCGCTGGATCGGAAAAGTAAAGTAAAGTAAAGTAAAGTAGGCAAAGTATAAACCCAGACTATGCATATTTCTCGACAGCAATGAACTCAAACTACGCATGTCTGTGTCTTTCATGGTACATACACCAATGTTTAGAGCTAGATGTATACAGAAAGTAATAAATGATATTCTTAATGTACCACCCTTATCTCTATACTTTCCTCTTCCCCTCATATTTTCAGTTAAACAAAATCTGAACTAATTCACAAAAGAGAAATCAACAACTATCGCTTCATTTTGTTGTTAGTTAACTGCACAGATTGTGTATGAAAATGAACACCAACCCTTCTTAACTAAGAAAGACCTGGGTAACAAAAGTTAATAGAACACAAAATGAGAAAACTAGCCGAAACAAGTCTAGTTGAAAATGCAGTTCAGGTATGCTTAATGATAACTTTCTTAATAAAACCATTTTAAAAGTAAAGGAGATTAGTTACTTGAATTGAACTGAAAATTAATATTTTAAAATACAATTACTATGTTTTTTCAATCTTTCTAACTCTTAAAGAAAGTTAAAAACTCATCATTACAATAAGATCACAGACATATAGTGCTGGGAGAAGAGTGCAGTGAAACTTGACAAACCAAAAGAGAAATAGGCAAGAAATAGGATCCATCAATGGAGTTCTTAAGTTGCCTGCATATTCTCTAGTAATAACATCTGCCTATCAATAACTTAAAAATAGAAGTCACACCATTGAACATCCCAGAAGCACTCTTTCTCAGGTTTGGAAACACTACGCCAAAATTCAGAACAAGTGCATGAAGAAAAACGAAAAGAAATAGATTTACAAGTAAAAATGTTCAAACTATGCAAACCGCCTTTCAAGCATTTTCTCATAAGCATGTCAATAATCTCCCACCTCATCAATATCATATGGGTGATTTTCAGGATTTCATCGCCTCAAGTGACCAAATTTGAATATCTTGAACCACATAGAAGAGAGACATACACAACTGGCTACATAGGATCAGCTCCAAAACATATAAAAAGTTGGCTTTCTCTCAAGAAACCCACCAATACGGGCCACATATTGTGACAAAGTTTAATAACATGTGACAAGCTGATACACAGCTTTACTCACATAAGAGAAATGTGGTTACAAGCAAGTCTTGCATTTACCTTGCCAAATTCATAGGTGGTAAAAGACAATAAAACAGTTGGAACAAAAGCAGAAATTATTCACTTAGCATTCTTTTCTTTATCCAAAGTAATGTGTATGCACAGATGCGTCTCGCCGTTCAGTTCATTTTTGTAAAAAAGATTATAATGGAAAAATATCCAGTGAAACTTCTCAGTTCCAAAAGTGACCTTTCCGCCATGAATCAAGCTTGCTTCCTGTACAGAACAGTTATACTGAAAAGGCATTCCAAGCTTCAAAGGCTACTGAATCATAAATGGATAAATAAAACATTTTTTTAAGCTCAAGTCAAGCTGCAACAGGTAATCCTTCAAACATCATCCAAACCAATGATCCAATGATCCATTTTATTTGCCTTTAAACACTACATCATGATAACCCTGACAAAAAACCTCTCACCTCTCATTGATAAAGAAAGAGTTGTTAACAATACGAGTATCGGGTCTGTTTGGCACCAGTCGCATGAGCTGTTCCCCTGTCTTGCGAGTTGGGGGAGCGCTAGGAAAGTCCAACATAGCACGCTTTACTCTGACTCTAGACAGGTAGCTGCTCCTCCAAAACTGGGAAATGAAATGAAGACAAGAGAACTGTATGGGAGACAGCTACACGGTATCAGAACTTAGCGAATCATGAAAGCTCAAAGTTAAAGTTTGAGTAAAGAGAACATTGACACAACAACGATCATTTAGTGCTGGCAAAAAGTAAAACAGACAGGCAGAAATAACACATTAAAAAAGAAAAAAATAATGACCTACCAGTGGCATCCTTCAACCACCCACTTGAAAGCTCAAAAGAAAAAGATTGATGTGCGACAAAAAGCAACAAAATATAATAATAAATAGTACTTGTATAGAACATGTCCCCACTCGAAAGCAAGCTCTGCGCTTAACACTATATTACTACCCCAGCAGACCATAGAACACTCAGAAACATTCTCAGCTTCCCGGCATACAGTGCAAGCAGCCGGTCAAGCATTCAAACACTAACAAACTGACAAGATCTTTCACTGTCTATAGCTGGGTACCCATTCCCACATGGGTGAAGTGGGGAAAATTTGTGTAAAGTGTCTTTCCCAAGGACACAACGTCGAGCCCGCGGCTCGAAGCCCCGAACCCGCAACCTCACAATTACGAGTCCGGTAGGCTAACCACTAGGCCACCGACACCACTAATGACAATACGAGTGTACAAGCCAAAACTTAACCCTAAAAGACCTGACTACCTGAGCCTGAAGGACCTGTGCATCTGAATCCCCTTAGGTTCACGAAAACACTTACATCACCAAAAGGTCAGGTGTGTGTTTGGTGAACAGAAAGATAAAGGAAGTAAATGGAAAGGAGTGTGCACATTGATACTCAGGTTTAAGATTTCCATCAATGCAGCAATTTAAAATGCACTATCTCCATCTTTCTGCTAGGACACTGTATCCCTCTCAGCTCAGGTTGGCCCTGACAGGCAGGGTAAAAGCCCGCCTCATAATTTATCTCAATTGTGTCAATAGGATGGTACATTAAAAAAACAAAACAACCTTCCAATGCAATGCTCTCCACAACAACAAGAAGGTTTAGAGCCATATCATTAGTAGTACGGGCAAATCTTTCAGTGTACTAAAACTTCCCTAATGGCTAGCCTTCTACCATCTCATACAAAAAACCACATAATAAAACATTCTCATCATCGTTCAGTCTCTGTCATACATATAAAAGCATGCGAACATCTTGTATGAAAATGCCAAAGATGATGGCTTCATCAGAAGGCAGTCAGTGCATATACCTGCAGTGAAAGGCTAAAATATGAGCCTCATGCAAGACAAGAGAAATTAAAGGCCACACACATTACAAGAAAAGTTTTGCATCTTTCAGCAAAAACACAAATAGTACAACTGCAATATAAACAAATCTTTGAATCTTCCAGAAAAACCACAGTTTAAAAAACAATTACAGAGGCACTTTTCACCCAACCTGGAAGACACGTCGACATCTCATGAGTTGGACACAACGTTCTGTCTCCTCCAGTCTTTCTCGCTTGGCTACAACATCTATCTCGAAGACTTCCTGTGCTATATCCTGAGCAATCTCCAAGGTGACCACAGACAGAAGGCTGTCCTGACAGCTCAGGCTCATACCTTCCATACACTGTCTGTTTAACTCACGGGTAACAATGCTAAAAAAAGATAGAAAAATACCAGATATAAAATGAATTTGCCTATTTACGTTAACACTAAGAGAAAACCAAATTTACTTGGATCCCCATTGGGAAATCTGCGGTAAATGACGTAATACTTATTTCATAATGAAAATAATTTTAAATAATTTCATGCCATGGTAGCATCTTGATTATAGTTTAAGGGGGAATGGGTCATGCTCATTGGCACATCCCAGAGACAAGACATTTCAAAACCTTCATACAGACATTTCTTGACATTCTTTGCGATTCTGCATTGATTAACCAGGGAACTACCAAGGACATTGTAACAGGTATCATATCAACAATAGACTGACCATTTTGTGTGGAAGATATGATATGCACAAACAAAAATGATCCCCCAAAAAGTAGGGATTTTATTATCTCCTAACAAGGTAGAAGATATTCTTCTGTCTTAAGAAATAATAAAAACGAAAGAATTATTTTCAAGAATTATTAACTCATTGACGACGTTCAACAAACTCTGAAGACGCGCCGGGTCCCGGAACCCGACAACTTGTACCATTTTTGGGGGTACCTAAATACCAATAAAATCTCAAGGGGAATGACTCCCGTGTTAGTTAAACCATTTAACTTTATTGTGGTTGTATCCCTTTGACCGTTGGTCACCCGAATTGTCTGCTATAAGCAATCTGCCGAAACACGAAACACGCTGACCTGACCTACTTTTTACATAAACAAGAAACAGAGAGCTGCTGGAAGCTCCTTTCACTACCAACGAAGCGATAGGGATGATTGATTCAGGAGACTACAATGCTCCTGGCAATGTCACTATTCATAGAGATAATATCACTTTGTATTACTTGTTTGAAAACATTCTAATTGACTACAATCACTTCTGAGATCAATGTGCTTAGCTCATTAAAAAAGTTTTTTTCCACATTTACATATAATTTTTTTTTTCACCTAAAAAGTAATTTTTTCAAAGTTTTTGTAAAAATAAATACATTTCATGTAAGTATACATGATGATCTTACTTTGTGTCAACTTTTATACCTGTACAGTTGATAGGTTTATCACACTGATTTTTTAAAAACAGGTAAGAATCGTGCGTCTCCAGGGAAATTTTTGGTGAAAAACTTGCATCTTCAATGAGTTAAGAAAAAAGAAAAGACAGTCTGTCAAAGCTGGAATAAGACAGATAATCACGCGAGAAGGAACTGGGGCAAAAAAAGCGATCTTTTACACAGTCATTCAATAGAAGGAGGCTGCAGACTTAACATAGATAACATAATTACAGTAGACAAATGATATCTTCCAAACACATACATAAAATATTTGCAACAACAAGTGAAGAATTCCTAGTATGTCTCTCAAGCAAAATGCCAGCTCTTGTTCATTTGTTCATTCCTCTGCTCTCTCTTTCTCTCTTCCGCTCCCCCCCCCCCCCCCCCCAACCTTCTCTATCTTTTCCTCTTCCATCTTTTTCCATTTCTAACACACAGCTTTACAAGCATGCACGCACGCATGCACACACGCATGCAGGCAGGCACCCACGCAGGCAGGCACACACGCACGCACCCACGCAGGCAGGCACACACACACACACACAAAATATGATGACCCAGCTTGTCTCACTTCATCTGGTTGATGGCGACCTCCTGCACAATATCATTGACAGCATCCTCCACAATGTCCTCACAGAGCACGTTGAACACCCGCTGTCTCTGCTCTGCCATCTCTTTGGCACGGGCTTGTTGTACACGACTCTCTTCTTCATTGTGCACCTCCTTAGCCAAAGACCTGTAAAATATTATGTCGTTGAGAAGCACTTCAGGAAGAGTAGGCACTGTAGTGTCCCCATTTCACCATCACCGAATGAAAATAAAAATAATATGTCAACTGAGAAACATTACAATACTGACAGCTAAGACTAATGGAAACACAGCAAAGAAGCAGAGAGAGAGCAAACTACAACAGAGAGTCCACCAACCAAGACACATTTCACCAATCAGATAGGGACAAAATAGGCAGAGAGTGGCCATATCGCTAGGGGTAAATGCCCTTAAGAGATGAACCCAGTGGCAACTTGGAGGCGCTATACCGAACCATTACATATGTGAGGAAAGTCTGGTATTGTCACATGAAGAAAAAGGAAGAAAAAGGAAGAAAAAGAAAGTTTTTGCATGCCCTACCTCATATAACTGCTCCAATTTCATACGTTCTCTAGAACTAAAACACTTTTTTCTTGATTACAAAGATTACACAATTCAAATAGTCTCTTCTTAGGAACACAGCTAGAAATTTTTAAAATCTAATGAGGTAAAAGTCAAGATTTTACTTTATTTTGAACCAATTAATAAATACTGCTTCAGAATACCGCGTCAAACTTTGGACGACATCAGCAGACAAATCATCGAAGACAGTCCTGATGACAGCGTCCTGTTCCTTTTGCTCTGACATCACTTCTCGTGCAATATCCAGGGTAGCTGTATCAATAACCTCCAGGATTACAGTTCTGGCAATGTTCTTGATATCCTGTTGGGGTAGGAAAATAAAGACATCTCAGGGCTTTGACTAAGATTTTGATTTCGAGAAGTGAAGGACATTGGCATAACGGTTCACTTAGTGCAGGGGAAAAAAAACCTAAAATGGACAAACAGAAGAGGGACAGAAGAGTAGGACTGACCAATGATGCTCTCCAACCATCCTCAGGACCAAGACCAATAGAACCATTCTGGTCAAAAAAGTAATAGCAATTCTGTCCATTATGAGAGCTGAGTTACACATCTAACAATGCCTCAACAGAACATTTTTAGACCATAATTAAAATCTACAATGAGCCTCTATTGCAGGGGGATTCTAAAACAAGCAAACACATAAAAACGTTTTTTAAAAGTCAAACCTGGGTAAAAATGGCTACCCATTGTCAAGGAAAAAAGTGGCCGTATAACACAGGTGGCCGTCTTAGGCAGGAATGATCAACATGAATAAAGCAAATCATTCTCTTCTGAGGTCCAAACCAGGGCTGATATCAGGCTTTGGACTGCCCTAAGGCTAATTCACAAGGGTTTTTGGTTTCTCTTGAAAAAGGGGCGAGTGTGGTGTAAGAAGGTTTTTTTGTGATGTTTATTTGGTTTGGGGTTTTTTAGGTTAGCTTTCTTTTTGTTGCTGATTTTGTGCAATGATAAAATAAACGAATTATTATGTAAGTAAGACGATGAAGACCGAGTGCCATGGTAAAACAAACACACGTGTTGCCACCACTCGAAGAACGAGCGATGCTTCTGTCGCAAGTTCAGGTCAATGTCCATTGTTACTTAGTTACAGATAAGGTAAACAAAGCAGTGACCTGTCACCTCACACACAATTTGTGCACGAGTTGTGGACGGGGCTTATAGGTTATGACGGATCACACGCTTCCCTCACCAGCAGCTGAAAAGTCATTGTTAGGCAATATTGGTCAACTTGGGTAAACATTCATTGGAGGGACTAACAATAACGACAGCTGAACGAATTAAGATAGCCCGTCTACAGAGTGAGGTGCTGATTCAAAATTTATGACAAAGCGTCGGGCAATGACTGACCATGCCTGGCCATCTGAGGCAGGTAAATTTGACTGTGGGTGGATAAAATAAAGTGGCTGCGGCCGCGGTGGGCAGGTGACTGTTTTACACAGTAAAATCATATCGAAAAAATGCAACGGGGGAAATGGGAAGTGGCCGTTTGTACAGGCGGCCGTCATGGCAGGTTCAACTGTACTTGAAAAACAACAACAGGATGGTTCAAAAGTCGCCTCAGCTCACATTTTCACATAGAAACAAGTTTGGGGTTATCCCTGATATAGGAAAAATGAAAGAGAAAAATGAAGTCTTAATTCAATCCAACGTACTGTTGCACAAATGTGACAGTCCCATATTTACTTAAAGTCAGAGTGCAACAAATAAATTTTTAAAACTTTACCTATCAAACTCCCTCAGTTTTATTTCTACAGGCACGGATATTACGGTGATGAGTAATTAGGCCTCCTGTGCAGAACTCCTTAAAAACTTTGACAGAAAGAATTAAACTTGAAATGCTAAAGGGTAGATGAGAGGTAAACCGTGGGTGACCGAAAAAAAATGTTCGGTATCAGTAGCCATTCACTCAAAGAAATTAAAACAAACGTGTTTTAGCATTTTGAATAGGAACTTGTTTTTAAAAGATGCAGGGAGGGTTTTTAAATATTCTGACGTTGTTCCAAATTTTTTTTCAGGTAATAAACAGCACTAGCATAGGTCATAATGCAAATGATTGGTCGAGTGAAGGTGTACATTGAGGATTTGTAAAAATATTTGCTAGAGACATTTTTTTTTCCTAAACCCCCAAAGATATCATGGAAGCATTTGACTTTCAAATTGTTCTATTGTGTTTATCATATGAGGAGTTATTAGCAAAATAGGGAAGTTGACAGCTCAATAAGACTGATCTAGGTGCGGTTCTGACAAGAACTTGTGCAACAAGCAGTCAGAAGTTGTCAAGACAGTCACCATTTGTGAAGGAGGAAAGCAGTTGTCCTAGACAGTTGGACATTTTAGACAAGGTCATAACACAAAAATAATACAAGGGGTTTGGGGGGGCCGTGGAGGAAGGATGGTCAGTCGTACAGATGACAGTCTTCGCCACACATCTGATGGAGTAGATTCAACTGTGATCCAGATTCCTTATTTTAACACAAAAAGTTGCCACTTCTTCAACTAAAGCAATTCCTAAAATCGAATCAAAAGAAACAAGAGAAGTTCTCCTCTTACCTCATTAGAAAAAGCAGTCCTTCCTCGGGCCATGGCCGTGGCATCAGGCAGTTGTGACGGACCCCTCAGTGCACCCTGGGACTGACCACCACCACCCCTACCTCCGCCATCATCACTTCTCCCCTGAGGTTCTTGCAGGCTTTGCTGGGGCAGGGGTGCCGCTGCTGCCTGCTGCATCAGGTCTGCGGCAGAGGGCTGGAGCTTCAGTCCACTAGAGTCTGTAAAGAGGGAAGAGTCAGTCAAGATGTTTAACTCTTTAACTTGCCACGAGTTATCAGCAAACAACCAAACAGCGCGGAGAAAGGCACTGATGTATCGGTGGTTGGTATAGAAAGAGTTAAAGTAGCCTTCATTTAAAAAAATAATAAACTGGACATTTCAAATAGAGCAACACCCCACCCATACCTTTTTCCCCACCCCCTGGGGACAGTTATAAAAAATGCCACTTTCAGCAAACTTAATAGCAAATTAGTCCAGTGGGAAATAGTCAACTGCTCCAAACACTGACAAACCTCATAACAGGAAACAAAGAAAAACATTGACAACCTCTTGCAAATATTATCCCTCAAGTTGTAAGTAGCACTGACAACCCCTCCAAAATACTACCGCGCTAAAAAACACCACTGACCACCCATAAAAATGTAACCAGTCCAATAGCACACACCCTGGAAAACACTTACAGAGGGCTGCCTTGAGCTCGTTGGATATGATGAATTTGCCGTTCTCGTCAAAACTTGAGGATGGAGTTGGAAGGATCAGCATTGGCAGTGGACATCCATTGATGGTCTTTAGAGAGATTACATTCACTTAAAATGAAAATCAAAGAACACACATACTGTTGACGGAATATATGTTCACCTACGCAACAGACAAGGACGAAAGTAATTCTTTTTTAATTTTATAATTTTTTTAGACAACTTCTCAAAAAACAGAATTCAAGTTTACCTGAGTTATGGTACAAACCAGAGCCACCTGTACCACATCCCAGCAAAATACTGAAGAAACCGCATACCCGAATTTAATGTTATCAATAACAACAAGTGCAGAGTGAAATACAATTAAGAGACTGGAGGCTTTTTGCACACATGCGGACAGGAAAAACAAGTGGACAGACAGGCAGAACAGACAATGCATCAGGGCTAACAGTGAAGGCTATTTCTATCATTTACAGATCCTACCTGTATTACCTGTCCTGGGCAACAACGTCATTGCACACCGGACAGGTCCATAAGTGCTCAGTTCCCCCCAGCACCAAAGCCCGCAAGGTATCCATACTGATTGTTCCGGTGGCTGTCTGATTATGGCGACATCTTTCCTTTCCAGATAATCATTCCTTTCTTCCTTCTCCCCTCTCTATCCCCATTTCCCGCATCCTAATGATTGCGTGGTGTTCTGCTGTCTCCTTGTCTTCTTCATCCCGCAACTTTTTCTCCATGGTCTTCAACACTTCTCCTTTGTCAAATTTCACCTCACCATCAACCACGGCACTGCCTGCCAGCCTATCAGCCTCCTCATTGCCTTTCACTCCAGAGTGCCCAGGACAGAACATCCACGTGATGGCTCTAATTGATGAGTGTCATATTGGGTTCATCCATTCACTCCGAAGAAGCCCTTTCTCAACCCTTTGCAAGATGCTCTGGGAGCCCGTGACAATGATGAGAGGTTCTTGGTCTTGTATTATGAAACCATCCAAGCGCTCTTGTTACGCCCTCAATCTCCATTTTATGATGATTTACAGACATTTACCAGTAATGTTTTTGGATTTTTTTGCTTAACCAAAAAAGACAACAAAAAAACTCCATCATTGTTATACATGTCACCAATTCAGAACCTTTACACTAGTGCCATTAAGCCAAGAGATACTTCATTGAGGGAGAAGAAAAGTTAATGTGAGGTTTTCCCAGAGGAAGGACGGAGCTGACAGTATCAAACATCTTGACATTGTTAATGGAGAATGTTCATTTTTCATCACATGGACACACGGTGGGTTATGTAGAGATATCAAAGAAGTTACTTGAACCACAACACTGTCAAACAGGTTTCTAGTAATAGTTGTAAAGCACATAGAGCATGGATATGCGCTAGGTCAATACAATTATCATTATTACAATTATTATTATTATTACTACTATTATTATCATCATCATTGTATATGAGAATGGTATTATGCCCTGACAATGTAACTGCCAGAAATAGGTCAACTCTTTTATTCTTTCTTAAACTATTGCCAAGGCCCATCTGCAGGCCCTTTATAAAAATCACAAATCAGTAAAACTATAAATATTTTCATAGTGAAAAAAATATACTGTGATATAACTTTTGATTCTTCTCTAAACATTCAAGTCAGGGTTGGGTTTTTTTGCAAGCTAAAAAGTTTTTTTTTAAAAAGCAAAACAAGTTACAAGGTTAGAGCATAACACCATCCACATATCAAAGACCTATATAAAAGCAAGTCATCATCAACATTGATTTACCTCCCCTACAGACACTGTGCACTTTGCTTCCACCAGCGTCTGTGATCGTCTCTGGGACAACGAGCCCTCGGGCTCCATGTACGCCTTGGCGTCCAGCAAAACGTCGCTCTCTTCCACACTCAGGCAGTAGTGGTAGCAGAACTCTTCAACCTCCTCCGCACTTTCAAACCGCAGCAGGCGGATCATCTCAGCCACCGGGTACTGTTTAGTATGAGTAAAAAGAAGCACAAAAATCACAATAACAGTAATTTAGTGGCGGGGGGAAACCAACACAGACGGACAGACAGAAATAGCAGTAGGGGTAGGGTTTTTAAAGTTTTAGTAATAATTCTACAGCCTTTGCAGCACAATAAGGTCATATACAAGCCAAAGATTAGAGGTGTTATTAGAGAGTAACATACAAAGAAAAGAAGGAGGGGAGATAGTCTTAGTAGAGTTTTTATGGCGCTCGCAACTGCATAAGGTCATATGAGCGCCAAGGGGTGGATGTCAACAGAGAAGTCCTCACAGAGAATCAGACTTACTCCGCTCACCTCTCTAGCCTCAACAGCACAAAGTCGACTTCGACTATCAAGGCACTCCGGAAATAGCAGGTCACAAGAGAGTGATAAACATACAAAAGAAGTAGAGGAAAATGACGATAGTAAGGATGGGGACAGAAAAAGCAGCAGTTCCTCGTATGCAGTTCAGGCACAGTTACGAGTTTAAGAACATGTTAATGTCCCCCTTTTGGGAATGGCCTAAAGACACTTCAGTCAGTAGCACCATTGCGGGGGGTTGCAGAAGAGGTAAGGATTATAGATGTTTGATAGGTATGAAGGAGCAAACCAAACCAGAGCACCCGCAAACCGCCCTTTAACGGTCATTTAGTGCTGGGAAAAAGCAAGACAAACGGACAGAGAGGAACAACAGTGGGAGGTAGGGAAAAAAAGTAGGATTTTTTAGTGGAGCCCTTCCTAACAACAACCTGCTCCACATACTGTAGGAGGAAGGAGTCATAGTATGAAATGCTAAGGTGTGCAGTTGTACTCCACAGCAAGTCAACACAAAAACAGCCATATTCAGCCAAGAGAATAAAAGGTACAGAGTGGAAAAGGGGAAACTGATGAAACATACAAAGAGTGAAAAGGTGAAAACAGAGAGAAATAAAAAGAAATTGCCATGAAAGAGTGTGTGATAGATAAGACATTGAAAGAGTAAAGAAATTTGGCATTTAAAAAAGCAATGAAAGAGTGAACATGTAACAAGATAACGATGAAATGTAAATGGATGACTAGAGTACAGTCATGAACAAAAGACTTACATGAAAGAAAGTGACACCACGTAACTAACTATTTTTTTTTTTCAAGTAATAGAGGCAGACAAAGTCATGAATATGTGATGCAATAAAACTGACTTGAAAAGGAACAGACAATACAATTTCAAAGTAGGACATAAAAATGTTAATGTGATGACAAAGCAACAACTTTGAGTGATGGAAAGAAAAAGTAATGAAAATCTAGAAAAAAATAATACAATAAAGAAAGAGTAACCTGACAAAAAAGAACACAAAGGCACAAGCATGTCATGACCAGAGTAAGGACACAGAAATAGGAAATGATAATGAGATAAAAGGGGCTAACAAAATTAAAACAGAAAAACGAATTAACAAAAAAGTAAAAACACAAATTTGCATGCCAATTCTCTTCAAACAAATCAGTATGAAACTGACAATCAATTTGATGAACATAAAGTTAGGGAAAAAAAAGGTTCGACAGTATTATCAAGTGACCCAAGACAAACCCACCATGATCTTATTTTTGCCAAGGGCTCCATGAGCCTTCATGATGATGCGTAGAGCCTGGCTACGGATCTGGATGAAGTATCGGTGAAGGATGCAGGCATTGAGGAAGCTGGCCCTCTGGATCAATCGAAAGAAACGCACGTAGTTGTGCGAGTTGAGGGCATTGTATGCCTCCACGGCAAACAGAATAGGAGCAGATTCTCGAATGTCTGGACGCATCTGTTGCACTTCCCTGAATAGAGGTAATGAGGAGAGCTGTTACTAAGTTTAACACATTTTTTAAAAATGTTTTCAGTAAACACAACATACTGATAGATTTAAAACCAAAACACAAAAGAAGGTATGAACAATACTTTTTAAAACATGCTATTTACAAAATATTATGTACTGTAATGTAGTTAAATAAAACTACTTTCAATTTTCCTTCTTCAAAAAAGTAAATGAAGAAAAGTACATTTTGTCCATTGTAAACAATTGTGTCCATGACATCTCTCTGAATTCAAAGCATTTGGCCTTTTTTGTTCAGCACTCTCCCAGTATGTCCTAAGGATAAAAACATGTAGAGGCTCTTGTTTCTTTTCAAGACGCTACAGGGGGGGGGGGGGGGGGACGACACCAAGCCCCGCACACACCAATAATAGAAAAAAGGAGGGGGGGGGGGGGGGGGGGGGGGGGGGGGGGGGGGGGGAGAGAAAATCTTCAAGGAAAGACAAGGGAAAAACATTTTCCCTTTTAGATTCAAATTGAAATATCATCCTTCCACACGTTCAAATTTTTAACCCACTAAAGTCAGTGCAACCAGCATTATCAAATTACAAATATAAAATACAAGTGTCCAACAAAAGAGATGAGCACCAAAAAAAATGTGAACAGAAAACGGAAGCTTTTGTCAGTCAAGATCTAGAAATCTTCATGTATGAAGCTCTCCATTTTCATCACAACATAAAGTGACCAACTCCCTCTCCATTTTCTTCAAAACAACAGCGTATTTCAACTATTTCCACCATAATCCCCTTCTCCCCTCCAAGTCTTCGCTACGTCCGATACCTCAAGATATCTCCCTCGTTGAGTTTCATGAGCACCATGTATCCACGGAACTCTGCCTCGTTGGGACAGAACACTCCCTGCTTGTTCTCCAGGTCAGCATAGAGTTCTTTCAGCGTCTGCAGACACTTTGTGAGATTCTCATCGTTGATCTTGGCATCGAACGACATCATGTCCTCTTCGCAGAGACGCTCCGAGCAGAACACGTGGAAACGTGCACATTTCTCCAGCAGCTCTGCCACCTGAATGTCACATAGCTGTTGTTGGGTAATGTCCTGAGGAGAATAAAGTCAACATGTCAAAAAAATGTCACAGAGTAAAAATTAACACACATAAAATTATTCTTATGATACATCTTTTTTTTCATATTGGCCCTTGGAGCTCACAAATTATGATAATAAACAGTAAACTGCAAAAGACAAAGAAAGAGGAAGCCTTACAAGACAACCCACTGCACAACACGAACACACACACAATCTCTATATCTATGTGTCCACACCATTACTGCTACCTTTAGCCAGCAAGAAGACTAAAACAAGATAACTGTTGACACAGAAGTAGAAGGAGCAGGCACAGAGTCCGAGAGCTACCAACCATCCAACTACTGAAAGGCTCCCCCCCCCCCACCTCTCTTCCACTCCTGATTTACTTGTCTCCTTGCCTGTACATTTGTCTGCCTGTCTGCCTTACTCAGTGACATCCAATAATATTCTCATGTCACCCCCAACATCCCCCCCCCCCCTCCATGTATAACATGGGGCAAATTTACATTTCATATTCATTTGACATCCTTCACATCCCCTCCCATCCCCTCTCCTCCTCACATTCCCCTCCTTCCCACCTCCAGAAATCTGCCATTAGTGTCCTGGAGTTGTACCTTGGGTCAGCAAGATAAGAACAGCAATTTCACCAGGAACAGATTAGAATGACAGAAACATTGAAAAGATGTAAAAGAAACTGACAGGATCAGACCACCCTCTCTTTCTTCTATCAAAGAGAGGCACATGTACACTGCAACAGTCCTCTAGCGCAGGGAAAGAGTGAGACAAACAAGCAGAAACAACAGTTGGGGGGACAAAAAGAAGAAGGATCTATCATTGACCATTTCTAAACACCCGCACCAGAGTATCCACAAACCACCTGCAACTGTTCAGGTCAATTAATAAAGAGATAAACATCAATACAGTAAGTCATTTAGTGCAGTGAAAAAGGAAGATAGAAAGAAGAAAAAAGACATGAACAGAAAAAAAATAGGACTGCCAGTAGCACACTCCAACCTCTTGCCTCTTAATCTGCACGATACATATTTAAAAACAAAGACCATCATCATAACATAAGAACTGATAAGACTTTCCACACAGTCACCAGGGTCAAGAACTATAGATAAAACTGCGTTCTTTCCTGCAAGGTCATCCCCCACAGCATGAACTGACCAGTCTATCGGTCAGAGCAATCAGACCAGGCCACAGCACATCATCACATCACATGAACGGATCATCTTGAAACAAGGTTTGTACAGTGGAATGTGTGCGTTTAAATTATCCTCGTAAAGCACTGTGATACAATATAATCATTTCAGGTGAACCCTTTCACTATACATAAATAAAATACAACCACACCTAGAAGCAAGACTCCCAAAAAAATGCCAAATTACATAAAGCATTTGTTGCAGTCTTGCATTTGGTCATTGACAGGTGAACTGAGGAACATGATTGCTATAATATTCTAACAGAAATACTATGTAGACAAGTCACATGAACATTAGTACATAGCATAGGTTTTTGCTTTTTAGAGAATAAAAGTATTAGTTTAACACTTTGCAGTCACACAGCCAGCAGTACAAAATACCCCATCTGTTCACCCAGTCAGGAGAGCGACTGGCAGTGCAACAGACTTCTCGGGCCCAGCGCAGAACGGATAATTTTCACCTGCGCATTATTGTGCCAAGTGACCGCAAAGTGTTAAAAAAAGGGGGAGAGGGGTGGGGAGAGAGAGAGAGAGAGAGAGAGAGAGAGAGAGAGAGAGAGAGAGAGAGAGAAAGAGAGAGAGAGAAAGAGAGAGGGGGGGAGAGAACAACAGACATGGAAACAGGGAGAGAGAGAGAGAGAAAGAGAGAGAGAGAGAGCAGAGAAGAAGACATAGAGAGAGATAGAGAGAGCAAGAGATGGAGAGAGACAGAGGACAATAATAAAAATCAGTAAGATGTGTAAAGGCAATTGGAATAGTTTTGACATATTTCTCACAACATGACAATCTGAAACTGCATCATGTTTAGACAGACTCTGTTCCATTCGCAAAACAGATTTTTTAAATTGATAGATTTTACTTTCCTTTTCCTTTCCCTCTGTCGCTTCTGTCTATCCTTCTAGCTATTTCCCTGCAAAAATTGACCTGTACTGTTGTGCTTCTATTTACTCAAACGAACTCCAACTGGACTTTTCAGAGACAATGTTCCGTGTATGGTTTCCAGTCCTGCTTGTCAGTTGTGCAATATCCCATGACAAGAGTGAGGCTACCCGGACATCAATGCCTGTGGCTTCACCAGAATCTCCCGTGGGCCCGCCGTACCCAGTAACAGCGTCGTGGTTCCGCGACCGGTTCACCCGCCAAGAGTGGGATGACACTTTGAAAGGCTTCAAGAAACAGGGCGGCGACACAGTGTTTCTGAGAGCACCACCTGTAGTCAAACGGACATCGGAAGAGCTACAACATGACCCCAACTTCCTCTGGTGTGGCAGCTACAACAGCAGTACGGGCACCGGCTTGCCTTACTGCTGGGACCAGGCTGAGCAGGAGCTGAAGTCTATGGGGCTCAACGTGACCGCTTTCCTCACTTATCAGTACGAAGAAGCTTTCTCAGATGCCATCATGCTCTGCCCCAAAGTGGACAGGAAAATCAGAAGCTCCCGCAACTACTACCGCATCGTTCTCCCAGCAAACACCACTGCCCTCAACACAAGGACCAGCTGTGATTTCCCGCCTGGCTCTAATGTCGTGGTTCTGTTCACCAGTTTTGCTGGCACTGATCCCCACCAGCTACTGCTCCAGAGTGCTGCTAATCTCAGTGTTTCCGTCTTCTTTAGCCTGCCTGGAGCTCCAGTTGGCTTTGAGGAGCAACTGATGCCTGCTTACTATGCCTGGCTGGAAAGAGTCCTCCTAGAGCATAAAGCTCGTTACACGCAGATGTATCTTCGCGACAACTACGGGAATTCAGGACCCGCCAAAAGCTTGTATGACTCCTTAACGGGGTACTATGGCACAGATGAATGCAGTCTCCCTGAGATAGCGCCAGGCTCAGACTTCATCCCTGTCCACAGCAAGACATCCCCCCAGCTCATCTACATCCCCCTCTATACAAAGATGGGTACTCTAGTGAGGAGCATGGGAAAACGTTTTGCTATTAGCCCATACGTCAACCTGAACAGATTCCAGCTTAACAGTACAGTACAGGCCCACGTTCAAGGCTTTGAAGCTATTGTGAAGACTGGTGTGGTGGATATCATAGCTGTACAGGAGGGCCGTGGAGCTGGTAGAGGCTGCTATTACTGGCCTCACGAACTACACCAGCCAGTGAGAGCCACTGATCCTACACTGGACAAATCTATCCACTACCTCAATCCCCAAATCCCTTCCAATGTCTCTTTTGCACAAGCCTTCACAGCAAGCAACCAAGTTGTATTCCGCGCCTTTCAAAAAGCTCAACAAAAACTGATAGAACAAGAGAATATCGACTTTGAATTCTGGCTCAACCTGGAAGCTTTTGAGTACCTCCGTGATGACCCCTGCCTTCCAGTTGACCCAATGGCCTCAGGGATGGGAGAGCTTCTGAACCGTGCAGCTAAAGCTCGAGTAGACCGTGGCCTCAGCGTAGCCGGAGCTTTTGTACAGAAGGTCATATCCTTTGCCTGGGATGCCGACTACACCTGTACCACTCACCAGTACAGCAAGAGTCTACAAGAAGAAATCCTCACCGACCTTAACCGACCAATTATAGCCAACTGCTCTTTCCACAGCCCCCACAATCTATCAGTCGTCTTGCTCGGCTTCAACCTAGAGGCTGAGACGCAATCATTTACCGTGGACTGGACTGACACCAGGGGACGTTCTCAGAGCACCAACATCTACGGCTACTACTTTGAGCTGGACTATGGAGCTCAACACAACCTGGTCAAGTCTCTTGAGTACACCATGCTCTGGGATATCCCTCAGATGGTGACCAGCCTCGCACCAACTGGCACTGTACATGTTTCAGGACACAAAGCTCTCGATGACTGCTACTTCGACTATGATCTGCCATATGATGAAGCCTGATGATTTCCATGGAAATGATACAGACTGATAATATCAAATACCAATAAAGTATCTCACTTTTGATATTCTGTCATCAATATCTTCATTACAATGTGCAGCAATCATAGGATACTTCTTAAGAATTTCAACAACATGCCATTCAAGTATCAGTGTTTCGCGCACTCATAAAACCTCATGCAGTTGCGAGCACCGTAAAACACTTGCTAAACTAAACTAATTGAAGAAGCAGCCAAACACCTTTAACCCCATCCGTACATCCTGTTTTACTATCGTATCCATACGACGTGGGGAACTCTGTACCACCACTTTCCAAAGAGGAAATTTACTCTTAATCCAATCCGTACGCTTTGCATTACAGTCTGTCAAAATGACTTTTTGAAAAATACTGAAAGTTTCAAAGATATCTTCCCACAAGAAGTATTCTAAAATGTGAAGAATACAACCCAGGGGGTAAAAAATGACCCCAGAAATAGGAATAGGATTAAGTATGTCAATAGGCTTCGCGCAAAACTTTAACCTGCATGAATTCCTAGTGCCATTTTTATCTGTTATGTGGAAAGAATTCTCCACACAAGCTAATTAAAAAATACACAAGAGACATCTCAGCCATTCCAAGAGATCCCACGGACATTTGTCACTTTCACTGCTATCGACGGGCATCCTAGTCTACCAAAATGACACTGGACTCACAATAAAGCTTTGAGTTCAATTCCAAGTTCTTCTGGATAAGATGAAAGCCATTTTGCACAATCTTTTTCAGTTCACTCACCTGCAAATGGGAATCTGGCATTCCTCAGAAATAGGTTTAGTGAGTATTAAAGATATGTACCTCACATGCTACAATGATGTGATTCCCTGAGGGGAGGTTGACACAGTATTTTGGACAGAAGCAACAGAGGGTATACAATAAGGCTGGGCAACGAGTCTCTTTAGCAAAATCCGGATAATATGTTAGTGCACCTTTTCGACAAATGAGTTAGAACCACTTCGAAGAACGGTTGGAATCTCTTCAACAAATAAATGGGTGCACCCACTTCGCCAAACGGGTCAGGGAAGAGAGTAAGAGTCTGAATGCGGACAATGTCTTATTGAGGATTATCCCATTATCCAGGTATTTATCCTGATTTTGCCCACCTCTAGTATACTAGACCATGAATTTTTACAAAAACATTCAGCAGCCAAAGCAGACATTTGTATGAGTTTTTTTCCCCCATCTCACCACCTCAGAGGCCCATAGCCTACATCATGCTGGGCATGGGCTGCCTGCCTGATTCGCTTCCGTCTTCCATGTTTCCATTCAGATATGTTCTTATCTGAACCGGGGTTGTCTCTTCGTTCCCAACAGCACAACAACATAATCCTGCTTTCTCTTCTTCACATCTTCAACATTTGTGGTGAGGTGTACAGTGCTTCTACATGTCCATTACATTTTATGAAAAAGCCTGTAGGTTTGAGTCTAAGAAGCCTGAATTTTGTTTATGTCCTACACTTTCAGTACCAAAGCTTCAAGGTCAAACATGACTACCAATCAGAAAGGTCAAAGTGCAGTTAGCATCCCTATCCCTCTCTCTACCTAAATAGTTAGCACTGAATCATGTTGTGTCACTACTACACATGTGTGACACGTGGATAACTTTACTGTTGATGCAGGATTTATTCATCTACAAAAATGTGGAAAATTCTTGTTTTTGTGTGATGTGTAGCAATTCTATGCCCTCAACAACACTGTTTTGATCAATTTAGGGGTGGCACAACGTCCCAACTAAAAGAGGAGAGATATTTGATAACAGACTTTCCCACAAAGGAACTGGAATCCCGTTTTCTGTGTTCAATAGTGAAGAGCTTCATTGTTACACCACAGATGACAGACATCCACGATAGCAATCGTTTATATATATATATAGACAGACAAAAGAAATGCAACATCAAAATGATATTCAAAATGTGCTCATCCGTAACAGCTACAAATTATGAAATATAATAAAGAAAGAATCGTTTAAGGTTTTCATACAGAGAGTATGTCCTCAATGGTTAAAAGAATTTAGTGTGATTTGCATAAAAGTTCATCCTAATACGTACATTCTCCAAATACCCTAAATAGCACACAAGATGTCGTATTTCTTTTGCTGATAGGTAAACGCCTCCACACTCACAAGTCTGATAGCTTCACCCTCAGCATAGATCAGCTTACCTTACGAATGCCTCTGGTTCTGTTCCACAGGAAATCATACCACTCTGCCCATTTTCCCTCTCCTCCCTCGTCAGCCACCTCTGTCAGCAAATAGGTCATGGTGGTCACTAGAACAGGAAGGGGACGCAATTCATGGGGGAGAGGTTCCTCCTGAGAAAAAAATAAACAAACTTATTAGCAACTAGTACTTGAAAATCTAATTGAAAAGATAACTGCACCAACCTTAAACATACGTCAACGTTTTGAGACAAAAATTCTAAAAACACATAATATATGAATGTATGGTCAAGGTTCCCCAAATAGTGTATTTTTTCACAAGTTCAAATCATTTTTTTTTTACTTCTTCAGTTTTGTGAAAGCACTTTGCATAAAAAAACACTTGTGACTTTCAATCAGTTAGGGTTCTTAGCTGTCATGAGAGAGCAAACTTTGATCCTTTTCAAACTCACTTATCCGTTTTCCATAATCATGTGTGTGTGATGTGTGCATCTGTACTTATGTCTATGAGTATGTTAACGAGCCTTTGTTTGAGGAAGATTACATAGTGGTAACTGCATAGGTATAGGCATTTGAGTGCATGTAAATACGAGACAGTATGTGTGACTGTGTCTAAATACATGTACGTCTGTGAGTGCACGTGTTTTGTCTTGTCTATTCCTGAGTGTGTCAGTATGCATACAAAGGAGAAGAGGACAAGGAGAGCAAAAATACAAAATTGGCTTTATCAGCAAGCAGATTTTACCAAAAGTTTTTACTGGTCTTCCAAAACAAAAATCTTTCAGCCGAAGACCTGCTTTCCCCTATGTATGAAATGGCATAAAACAGGACGTTGAAAAAGTTCACCAAGCACTTTACCTGATCGGCGGACGATCTGCTGTATTCTTTCACAGCCCTGTAATGGTCAACTTCACTCTTGAGACCAGTCTTGGGAAGAATAGAAAAACAAGCAAAAAACAACCAATCATGATGACCGTCACCATTGTTTTTAAAACTTATCAGATATTCTTTTGAGCGAGAAAATTAAAGAAATTGGTCTACCTACTTAACCAAAGCTAAATTAGGCAAAAATTTCAGGGAAACTGGCTAGCTTCGGTTATCCTCCATGTCAAAAGGATAACTTGATAGAGGATTTGCAATGTATCAGTTGTTCCCCTCTTTTTCTTCAACCCAACCCCACCCCAGTGCAGCTAAGTTTTATGTATTTAGCCCATTTTTTAGCGACATAGATGGAATTTTTGCCTTTCAAGCAGCCCCGCTTAATTCCTCATACTTGATTTTCTCGAGGGTAAGGCTTACTTTAAAGACAAGTCCAGACAATCAGTATATGTATGCCTTCTTTCCTTGACCTTAAAATACCAAGGTGTGGAGTCTTTGACCAGCCTATCCTCAGCAATTTTGGGATTTTCGTTTTTATAAATGAGTGCTTGATCTCACTAATTATAGAAACATCACATGATAAAAACAAAACAAATAACAGGGGAGTAAATCTGAAAAACATACCAGGGCAAATCCCACATCAAGCCATGCACTCTGACATGAGACAACAAGCATCACATCTCTAGATACAACTGATATCCTGTGCCATCCTCTACGTCACAGACCCCAAAAAAATATCTATAGAATATTTTTCTTCCCAGTCATAACTGGAAAAGTGGCACTACATAACATTGTACACAGACGTTCTATGTATACACGACCTTTCAGAAGTCACACAGAGGCCTAATATACAGCTGTAAAAGTAGACAGAGACTCACCAGGCTGCTCAGTGTTTCAGGGATCACCTCATAGAGCGCCAGTCGTCGTATGTCCTCTCTGTAATACCGCTCCTTCTCAGGGCACAGATCCGGACAGTCACCAGCAAATGCCTTGGCAGACGCCAAATCAGACTGCTGACGTCCTCGTACTAAGAAAGGAGAGAAAAAGGTAAAGAAATTGCAGCCAAAGCAAAATAAAAGGCAGGCTGATTATTTTTCTTTATTTTTCTATTTAGGATTTACACACGAAGCAAACCATAGATTGCTCACTTTCATCTGCTGTTGTTAAAAAAATTCTAGCTTACTTATTACTTTGCCAATGCGTATGTAACTTTGCATGGCACTTCTGTGGGTCAGTCCCCAAACAAATTATTTATTTTTTAAAATCTTGATCCAGAAATAAAAAAAGTTTCTTCATTTGGGCCCCATATGTGAGCGAGCCTGGTGAAAGGTACCAAAAGATGCATTTGTTCGAACCAAGATATCAGGCTTCAAAGGTCAAAAATAGAATTTTTGACAAAAACTAAGTTCCATTAAAAATGGACTCTTAAGCCATTAATATATAGATATTTACAAGAACTTGGAGTTTCTTTCACTTTAAAATACATTTTTATTGATGTTTTATAACATGAGGTATATTGCATAATCTCAAATAATGTGTGAGAAAACTGTTTTTCCGAGTACACACTGCGGATGGTTTCTCTTGTCCATTCATAAAGTCAACCCAATCGCATTGCATACCAAAATTTAGGTCATTCTCTCCCCTCTCTAATGGCGAGTAGTGCGCATGAATATCTAGAACGTGTAAATAAAGCGAAGCTTTGCACATCCACATCCTGTCGTTTTTTTGGAGAGCAAATTGTATCGCATATTTCTTCCCTGCCCAAACCTAGATCTAATTTCTTGGAAATTCTTGCTCAAGGTGGTGGCGAATTTGTTTTGAAGACGTAATATAAACATTTTGAAGCTGTTCTTTTATCTCTGTTGCTTTTTAAAGTTGGTTTGTGAGTAGCGAATGTGTTGTCGGGTCATCTCCAAGCATAGATCTACCAATTTGAAGGAGAAACAAAGGGGAAATTTTCAAGTCGTTTTTCTCAAAACTTTGTTTCCGTACCCTGCCTTACAAAATCACCCATATCTCAACAACTACTGAAGAATTCAAAAAGCAGATGGTTCAGAAATGATCTCTGTACATGAAAATGCAAAAAAGCGGGACTCTTCAAAACGCATCCTTTGGTGCCTTTCACCAGGCACACACACACATATTAAACAGAAGGAAATGACCACAATAGAACAATATCTAAACAGACCCCTCTAAAATAGATGGGCATACAGGGTGACTCAGGGTTTCAAAAAATGCAACCAAACTATCATAAGGATCTCTCATTTTCCTGACACATTGAGAAACAAAAGCAAGATACTCACACAATCGGAGAAGTTTATCTCGTGCGTCCAAAACATTTATTTTGCTCGACGAATCAGGTGCTCTGCTTCCCCATAAAGTTTTCAATAAACCTGCGGAGTAAAAAGCATAAATCCAGGCTATACACTCCTTCAAACAAAACTATGGGATATCTTCTCCCAAATTTAAAGCTAGCATTATGGGGACCTTAAAAAAAATATGCTTAAGAACTCATAAGATCAGACAATGAGACCAAAAAATTTTCAGGTGCTATCAATCTTTCTTATAGTCGTTCAAGAACAAAAGACAAAATTTCAGAAAGAGGGAAACTAAGTCTTAATTTTTTTTTCCAACGTAGGTGTTTTAACGCCGGTATCCACATAATTTAGATCATTTAGGAAGCTGGCTTCATCCTTGTCTGTCAGAACCAACTTGGGCTGAAAGAGATACAGCATTCCAGCAGGAAGACTGACATTCAATAAAACCTCTCCCCACTTGAAAATCAAACTTGGGTCTCTACTTGCCATAGCAAGCACTAACCACCTTACCACAGACACCAGTCTCATTTTTTTTTCATTTGAAATTGTTAAGACATTTAGAAAAATGAGGCATCTGAACTGACATTCATCTCTGAAGTGATGACATGATGAGTCTAAGAACCTTTAAAAAATGTATTTCTGTAACAAATTTGCCCCAACAATAGTCAGCTAAGCCTATAATAACATAATGCGAGAGAAAACTCCAGACACATCCACTGTTACCTTTAGCAACATCTAAATCAGAAGTAGACGCCGGCACAACAGTTGGAGCTGGGGCAGAAGGTGGTGGAGTTGGCGACCGCCGACGAGGTTTCTCACGTGAGGTCTTCTTTTGCTCCTTTGGAGCTTTACGCACAGGCCCAATTTCATACTGGGAAATGAGAAAAGTCCACCTTTACTCAACACTAAAAAGTCTTCATAGGGAAGAATAAAATAAAAAAGAAAGCAGTATTCTCAGATTGCTGAAAAGAAGTTCATGGAGCAGACCACAAAGGACCACCCATTTTGTTCTTTAGTGTTTGTGAATTTTTACTCTTTCCTCGATACAAATAGGACAAGTACAAGGCAAAGTACATAGCCCGGTGGTTAGAACATGATGGAAGGTGCAAGGAAGAAATAAAACAAGAAAGAGGCAGTCACACTTGTGCATTTGAAAGAAAACATTCCTGTAAGCCGTTTCAGGATTGGAAGGTTTACACATCCTGCTGATATGCAGAGGGCCTTTCTATTAGCCCAAGATGATTAGCATGTTCTAAGATATTTGCTCAAATTTAAAGAGAAAACTTGTAAGTCAATCTTTACCTGAACATCGGCAGTCCCAGCCATGCTGGCCAGCTCATCCTCGACACTACCCTCAGGCACACTAGACAAAGATACTTTACTGGGGCCTAGAGGAATGAAACACAATCAGGAGTTGAACCAACTTTTAGCTTTATTTGTTTGTTTGAGTAAAGAGAAGAACATCAATAAGATAATGGTCATTTAATGCTGGGAAGAAAAATACTGCAGTCAAAAACACGAGAGAGACAGAGAGAGACAGAGAGAGAGAGAGAGAGAGAGAGAGAGACAGAGAGACAGAGAGACAGAGAGAGACAGAGAGAGAGAGAGACAGAGAGACAGAGAGACAGAGACAGAGACAGAGACAGAGACAGAGAGGGAGCCAGAAAAAAGAGAAAGAGAAAGGGAGAGAGACAAAGAGAGATAGAGGGGGGGGGGGGGGGGGGAGAGGAGGAGAAAAGTAAAACCTACCAGTGACACCAGGTGACTTTTTGCACAGGTTTCAAAGTGCTTCACTTTTGTCAAACAGGTCATTTCAAAGGTAGGCTCAACACCATGAGGCTTCAGTCAACTACTTTTTATTTAAAACGAACCCTCCACCCACTGCTTACATGCACAGTGAACAATAGGTGCAGAGAAGACACTGTAAATTCACTGCTTCTCTATGCTAAATGGCAGAGCTAAGTAGTGCTAAGTTAAGTCCATTACTTACCCCTATCCTCCAACCTGAGAAACACTAATTAGTCACCCACTATGTACAATGGGAAAAAAGGCTGCTTATTTATACAAATGACAGTGCTGCTCACAAGAGCTGAGTTAACGGACTTTCAAACATCTCACTTCTCTTGTCTTTTGCCACTGCAAGTCTGAAAGGCTTGTTAGCTTCTGGTGATTTCACTGAAGAACCAGAGGCACGCCAAAATATCTGTAGCTGTGGACCTCCCTTCTCCAGCTGTCTGCCTTTGCTTTTGGCCATTGCTGCTTCTTCCTGTGAAAATGATAAGTATGATTTTAAAAAAGAAGCACACCTGAACAACTTCAAAGGATAAAAAAAGCAAAACAAAAGGAAAAAAAGCAGCTTTGTGGAACATCGACACAATAATGGTCATTAAGTGCAGGGAAATAGCTAGCCAGCCATCCAGCCAGCCAAGACAGACAGACAGACAAGACAGACTGAAACAACACAGGGAGAGAAAAGAAGTAAGACCACCAAGTGATACCCTTCAACCACCTGCTTCATGATCTCCACAAAGAAATTAATTTTACAACAAAATGATTAAAATCATACATATCAAACACGGCGTCACTTTTCGCCCGGTTCTGTTACTTTTAGTTCGCATGACTTAGCAGCCCACCGGAGCTCCCCGGCTCGGGGTCACGGGGTTAATGAGCCCTGAGGCGACTTTGCCGGTGTCTGTCGGGAAGTTCGCATTTTTGACTATGTTTAAAACGATATAACTTCTTCCCCATCCCACACAGCAAACCATTACGCGGATGTACTAAAAGCTCAATGTCTTGAGATTTATTCTGCGTTAGAATGGTTAGTTTCTGTGCCTTAGTTTTTGTTCTAGACAAGTGTTTGTAGAGTACCCAATTTGTCCTATTTTAGTTACAAAGTTATGAATAAATGATTGTTATTTTAAAAAAGGCACGACAGATCTCTCCAAATTCTGTGTTAAACTGACTACGAATATCATGTCTTTTACCATGAGAAATCTTAAATCTGCGGTAGTAGTAAAAGTCAAGTTATAAGAGAAGAAAGATGCACATCTGCATATTTTAACTAAAGACGATCAGCGTTAGCTCTTATTTTACTATTAAACAAGAGAAAGTTACTCTGCGTTTGTTCATGAATCATGCTGTGTCTGTGGCAGCCTGCATACAACTAAAAAGATATAATATAAGCGATTTAAAAAACCACAAAACCGTGTAAATACATGGGTAGAGATAAACTTCTAGTATGGAATAAAAATAATGACAGCTAAAACATTCATTCTTAGTTTTTGTGTAGGAAATATGCGCGGACACAATTATGAATGTAAATAAATCAGTCACATCGTCAGTTATTGCAAATGGTCATAGAAACGTAAAAAAAGCTGGAAAAGTCTGGTGCTGATTCAGTGTCCCTGGAAAGCTAGAAATTATTCTTATAACCCAATTACGAGAAGTCATCCTTATTATTCAGTCAACTTACAAAACCTAGACTTAGCGTTTTAAGAAAAGTAAGCAATTTCTGGAGTGTAACAGATACTGTTCGTGTATTAGATCTACGTTGAAGATATATTCTAGCACTAAAATCGATTTGTACTTTTCATTGAGAAACTTCATGATAACTTTTATAAACTTTCGAGAAAATATGCGAATATTCATGATTATATTAGACACATAAAGTTGTATTTGGAGGAATTACTTCGTAGCGAATTGTGTGCTCGATGGATAAAATTGCAAAATTACAGCCTTCTATTATAAGCGCAGATACCATCTTATCTGAGTATCTGCACTAATGTTATGTCGTTCATATTCCGAAAGTTCGACAGATTTTGACGATGCGTTTTTTTTATACTGATTTTTTTTCATTCACGCTAGTCCCAACAAAATTACAATTTAGCATTGCCGACTCCAGCGCGTCTAACGAAATAACCAGACAAGTTACAACGTCCGTTCTTTTTTGAGTCTCAAGAGCAGAAATGCGTGCTTTGGGTGCACTAAATGAGAATTACCATAAATACAAGGATACACCTTAAATTGTACGTTGAAAAGTACCAAAAATTAAGTCGGCCCAGACAGAGCAGCGACAGGGAGCTGACCCCCGTGACCCCGACGTGATAAGGCGCCCGGCGGGGAACCCCCCGCGGCAACTAAAATTCCACTGCCAGTGCGCCGTGCAAAGACATCCCAGAGATGGAAAGTTTTAACTAAAAACAAAAGTATCTGTGCTAATTTACAGTCACGTCCCTAAGTGAGGTCATAAAAGCTGAGCTGTATTTATCAAGACGAATCAAAAGAGAAGAATACTTTTCACATGTATGTCGACTATTTATCATTTCTGTGGCAGGTGCAAATGACACTGTACAAGCAGTTGTGAAAGAATTTTTCTGAGGACAATAGATTTCTTTCACATCTTAGATTTTATTAAGAGTTTTTTGGCACTTGAAATACAATAAGGTCATATAAGTGTAGAAGATTAGAGGTGTTCCAAGAAAGTAACAAACATAAAAGAGGAGAAGGAGAGAGAAGGAAAATAGATGTTTGATAGGAAAGAAAGAGCAAACCACACCAGAGCACCTGCCAACCACCCATGTATCACATCTTATCTCCAGACCTCAAATTTAAGACTTGAAAGAGTTCATAATAACTCCAATGGTACATAAATGTTCATGCTTTACATTTTAACCATGTAAGTCCTCAGAGCCCTTAACCACATCCACACACTGTTAGAAATCAAGTGAATCTCTTCCTTGTCTTTCCTTCATATAATATATGGGTTGAACACTCTACAAGTTAAAAACAAGAAAAAGGAAAGGCACACCCAAAAACCTTGTCATATTGAGGGTTTGTATTTAGAAAGACAGGACACTCACTTGACAGACTGTTATGAAAAAGAGTTGGCCTGAAGAAGCAATTGTGACAAAAAGACACTACTCCAGGGGCAACCTACAGGTGTGGTAGTGAACAATCTAAATCCCCATCCAGCCCAGGGTAGACTGTAATTCCAACAGGATACTAACTTCTCTCTCTCTCTTGCCCTTTTTAACTCCCAGTGGAGCACAGGCCATCAACAACATTACTCCAGCGAAGCCTGTCCTGAGCATCCTTTTCTATCTGTTTCCATGATGTCCCCGCTTTTTCAATTTCCGCTGATACCCCTCGCCTCCATGTCATCTTAGGTCTTCCCTTCTTACGCTTTCCTTGTGGGTTCCATGTTAAGGCCTGCCTGATGATGCTTGTCCGGGGTCTCCTCAGGGTGTGTCCAATCCATTTCCATTTCTTCATCTGAATATCTTCCTTTACTGGCCTTTGGCTTGTTCTCTCCCACAATTGAGCATTCGTGACTTCATCGTACCACTTGATCCCCACTATCCTTTGTAGGCATCCATTTACGAAACTCTGCAGTTTCCTTGCTGCTGATGCTGTGAGCCTCCATGTCTCTGAACCATACAGTAGAACAGTCTTCACGTTTGTTTTGAAGATCCTCAGTTTGGTGTTCAATCCCAGTTCCTTAGACATCCATATATTCCTGAGAATGATGAATGCTGCTCTTGCCTTTTGGATTCTGACCTTGATGTCTTCGTCTGTTCCCCCTGCCTTGTTGATAACACTTTCCAGGTAGGTGAAGGATTCAACATCCGCCAATGGTGCCCCTTGCAGTGTGATAGGAACGTCGGCTGCATTCATTCGTAGAACTTTCGTTTTATCCGTGTGAATATGGAGTCCAACACTACGGGAGAAGGTCCTGAGGCGATCTGTTATCTGTTGCATCTGGGCTCGACTGTGGGAAAGAAGTGCCAAGTCGTCGGCAAAGTCCAAGTCTTCCAGCTGACTGGAAAGGGTTCACTGTATGCCACTGCATTGTCCCGATGTTGTCTGTTTCATTATCCAATCCACTGCTAATAAAAAGAGAAAAGGCGATAGCAGGCATCCCTGTCTCACTCCTGTATTCACTTCAAACGAGTCTGTTCGCTGCCCTCCAAGTAAGACACTGCAACTCATTCCCTCATACATCTTCTTGATCAATCTCACGAACTTGTCAGGTATTCCATAGTGGCGCATGAGCTTCCATATTGAGTCCCTATCTAGGCTGTCAAAAGCTTTCTCGTTGTCAACAAAGTTAACGTACAGGGAAGAGTTCCACTCGGTGGACTGCTCCACTATTATCCTCAAAGTTGCAATCTGATCTGTACATGATCTCTTTTTACGAAATCCTGCCTGCTCCTCTCTTAGTTTTGCATCCACGGCTTCCTTCAGTCTTTCCAGTATGGTACGACTTAAAATCTTCCCCGGAATGGAAAGGAGCATGATTCCTCTGTAGTTTTTACACTCATGCAGGTCTCCTTTCTTGGGTAGTCTCACGAGCAATCCCTCTCTCCAATCCTGTGGAAATTCTTCGCTGTCCCATATCTTGCCAATAATTCCATGGAGAATCCCTGCCGCAGTGTCGATATCCACCTTGAGAACTTCTGGGGGAATTCCATCTGGGCCGGCTGCCTTGCCTGCTTTCTGGTGTCTTATCGCCTCCTTGATCTCCTCTAAGCTAGGCTTTTCTTCACTTACCCCCAGATCAATCTCTGCTGGTGGAATGTCAAACTGTTTTTCTGGCCTTGGTCTGTTCAGCAGCTCTTTGAAATGCTCCTTCCAGCGTTCTTTCTGTTCGTCTGGATTTGTGAGAAGCTTTCCCTCTTTATCCTTCACTGGCACATCTGTGTTCTTGTATCTGCCTGCAAGTTTCTTGGTGGTTTCATACAGTCCTCTCATGTTTCTTGCCCCTGCTGCTTCCTCTGCCTCGCGCGCTAGGTCATCTACATAGTTTCTTTTGTCTTTCCGTAGGCTGACTTTTACCTCCCTCATTGCTTTTGTGTATTCTTCTTGGGCCTTTGCTTTGGCTGCTCTTGTCTTGCTCCTGTTTACCTGATCCTTTTTCTTTTTCCTTTCTTCTATCTTCCTCAAAGTGGTGACCGATATCCATGGCTTGTGCTCCCGTTTCCGTTTCCCCAGTACCTCTTGACACACCGTGGTCCAGCCTTCTTTTATTGCCTCCCATGTTTCTTCCAAGCTGCTATCCTCGCCTAGTGTTTCCAACACTTGGAACCTGTTCTTAACTGCTACATTAAACTCCTCTCTTGATGATGGCTCTCTCAGAAATTCCACGTTGTATCAGTACCTATGATTATTGACAATTCCCTGTCTTCGCTTTAGTTTTAGTCGGATGGTTGAAATGAGCAAATGATGGTCCGAAGCTACGTCTGCACCCCTGTAAACTCTAACATCCCTCATTGATCTTCTGAATTTCTTGTTGACACATATGTGGTCAATCTGGTTTTCAGTTTGTTGGTCTGGCGACACCCATGTTGATTTGTGTATCTGTTTATGTGGGAAAACAGTCCCTCCTATCATGAGCCCATTTGTTGCACATATTTCTGCAAATAGTTCTCCATTCTCGTTTCTGACTCCAAGTCCGTGTTTCCCCATGATTTCCTGAAATCCTACATTGTCACTGCCTACCTTAGTGTTGACGTCTCCCATTAAAATCAAGATGTCCTTCCTTCTAACCTGATCAATAGTATTTTGTAGCATTTTGTAGAAAGTCTCTTTCACATCCTGGTCCTTATCATTGGTGGGGGCATATCCCTGGATAACATGAAGGTTGATGTCTTACTTCTGTGAACGGAATTCAGCTGATATTAGTCGCGGGCCCTCTGCTTTCCATCCTATTAAAGCCCGCTTGGCGTGTGTTGATAACAGAATACCTACTCCTTCTGTATGTGGCGAGTTTTCCTCCAGATGTCCAGAGTAGAGAACTGTTTCCCCTGAAGCAAGTTGGCACTCCCCTGCATTCGTCCATCTCGTCTCACAGAGACCCAATATGTCCAGTTGGTAGCCCTCCATCTCTCTTGCAACCTGCAGTGCCTTCCCTGCCTCGTACATTGTACGAACATTCCAGGTGCCAAGTCTGGTGGTTTTTCTGGTCGACAGGAGGTTTCTCGGCTTGGTGGATACTAACTTGACTTTTTCCTTTTTCATCCTCTGTTGCCATTAAGCATCGAGGAGAGATGCAGTTTTCTATGTTAGGCCACCTCCGCAGATCTTTCAATTGTGTTATTATGTTTTCTCAGGGTTTCCTCAATTCACCTTTAGCATGGCTTTCTTCTTCCTTTATAGCCTGAGTGCTTGGTGTAGTAGGCTCTCGAGGCGGGCAGGCCAGATGACATATGTAACAGGTGGCTAAACCATTTATTTCTCTGTCGTTCTATGAAATGCAGGCAGGACTCAAAGCCGATAGCTGCTCTTACTTTTTCTCATTTCTATGCCTGTCTCATCTTGTGATGTTAAGGGTTTTGCGGAGACATTTTATTTCCCATGCAGTGATTTTGCTTTCATTGGTTTTACTTAATGTCCAGGTCTGGCACTGGTAACATAATGTTGGTATGAATTTAGAGGTGATAAGCTGTCTCTTTGTCCAACAGGATAAATACCACACAATAGGCAGCAAAAACTTAAGCCATTTTGTTTTCGTTTGCTTGACACCCAAATCAACATAAAAACTCATTTCGTCTTGGGGGAGGGGGAGTAAGAGAGACAGACAAAGACAACAGAGGGAAAGAAAAGCAGAGCTTGGTTCTTGCACAACTTACATGAGACTGGAAGGTAATGTTGGCAGAACCTTTAGATGGAACAGGCAACAGCCGAGTGATGGTACCAAAACGAGAGAAATGTCTGCGTAGAATAGTGCCCTTGTTGAGGTGGGCTGGGATATCCTTGACGATAATGCTCATACGAGTAGTGTCTTCCACCGACTTCCGAGTGGTGCGGGCTCGACCCAAAGTGAGCGACCCTGAGCCATCAGTACCTGGAAAAGGAACAGAAACAAAAACAGTATTACCACTTTTTTTCCTTTACATATTAAAAATAAGAAAAAATCAATGTTACTGTAGTCTAATAGCTATTTTAACAAAGTGAGCCCCTATATTCAGACGAGACTAAGCCCTGAACTTCCTATGGATAGGAGAACCAAAAGAATATCAAGTTCCCTATGAAATACGGAGGAAAAGAAAAAAATCTGGGAGCTAAAGCTAGCCCTGCCTGTTTGGCACACGGCTGTTAAAACCCCACCGAAAGTGCTCCTTGTGACCGAGCCCCGGTCTGACCTCCCGCGTGAAGGTAATAAACCCGTGCATAACAACCGTGACGATAGCGATGCCCGCCGCTGTGCCTGCGTAACTCAGTTCTGGTAATTTTCGTATCACTTTCCCTCGTTATTTCTCCCGATCTGATAAACCTAGAAGCCTGTTCAACATCTCATTTTAAAGACACATCTTAGGACTAACTAGACAATCCCACTTTTGCTCCAGAAATCTCACTGGTGTTACAGCATTTACACACTTTACAGCACAAGTGTTTTATTCAGCTAAAGATGCATTTTAAATTACATTCCATTTTGGAGTTTATTATCTCAAAAACCAAACCGACAATTTTCACGAAATTTCTGTGCTTCACTTGAGACAGCAATACTTGTACTGTGTGAGCAAGTGTTATTTGTGAAAGGCGAAGGTGTGATTTTATATGATTTTTTAAAAAAGGGTACCCCTCCCCTGTGATTCACATGGACTTGATTTTTTATTTTTCTTCTTGACTTTAGAATCGCGTTATCTTTGCAACATTTCTCCAATTGATTTTTTAAAATATTTTAGCGCAGTTAAGAAACAGAGAAACATACAGAAGATTCGCATTTTCAAAAGCTGCACGAAGATTACAGGATTGTGGAGGCAGAACACTGTTCGGCAAGCAGAAGGTACAGAAAATGCGACCCCTGCAGTGTTCTAAACTTGTGTCAGACATTCTCTTGGCCTCTGGAGTTAGCATTACAATGGACTCACAGACAATACATTCAAAAACCATCTGCACAGTTTGCGTGGACAAGATAAGACATAAAGAAACATTGCTATCAGGGCACTATAACCGCCTAATTTTTCTGAAACTACTCTTGATGCTCGTTTTCTCTACAGTTTACACCTCCCACTTATAAACATTGAATACAATAAAGTAGCACCACCATACTTTCATTTTCTTCAGGGTGTTGTTCTGAATCATCATCGTTCGCTAGAGGCAACGAAACACATAATAGACATACAGCTAAGTGAGCAATCTGAGGAAGACTATAAAGGAGTTTAGTCGTCATTACGCATTATGGCAATAACTGGAGCCGTGGGGATCGAGGAACTAAATGGGGAGATTAGACATTTAGAAGGTTGCATAGTACTTTCTGACTCTGAAGAGGAGAGAATTAACTTTCCAGAACAATTGACGGAGAAAGAAGACAGGTTGTCTGAGTCAGAGCATGACCCCTTAACCCTGTTCTGGCCCTATCTGTTCTCATTTAGACACCATACTTGACTCACAAAACATCACACCGCAGGCACATCACAGCCGCTCTTTCATTGGCAATCACTGCCACAAATACATGATGAGTCGCGTTTATAAAGACCTCACTGCATTTATTGTAAAAGAAATAGTAGAAAATACCTAAAGCCAAAACATAATTGACACCGCTTACAGTCTCGAAAAAAAATTCAGTCAATTAAGCAACGCATTTAGGGGCGTTCACATCCACATCTCACACAGCCAACCAGTGTCAAAAGACAGACTACCACATATTGACACATGCATCAAAACTTACACATGTCATTATACAGGAGACACTTTAGTGAAAAGGTACTTCCCAAACACCACATTCTAGAAAACAACTGCATCCCGTGGATACAGACATATGGGTTTGGTTTGGCCTTACATGGGGAACAGGGTGGTAAACTTATCCATGCTTCTGTGGCAAAGCTAGAGAGAAGAGGAGCTGGGATACGTTATATCCAACAACAGCTGAAAGTTGTAATGCAGTCTCAGCACCTCATGCCAAATCCAATCCTATTATCCAACGTGCCTCCAACAAAGAAAAAAAGGTGACACTGCAATCAACTCTTCACTACTCCAAAACCGTGGACTTGGCACAAAAACAGCAAAGTGTGTTTTGATATTTGACCATTTCTGGTGTATTTTATATGAATTTGAAGAATTTTTTGGGTTTTGTCTGACTGAAATGTTGATTTAAAAATCTACACCCCCAAGGGCAATGTTAAAATATGAGCCATTTTTGGAACGCTATATAAATTTATCGTTATTTCATACAATTTTGTATCTTTCTCAGTAAGTGCAGAAGTTCCCTCTTGTTCCAAACAGGCAAAATAAAATGACTGCAAAGTCACCGATCGGCGTATTTTGCTAGTTTAATTGTCCTAAAAATGAAATATCGGCGTATTTTGCTAGTTTAATTGTCCTAAAAATGAAATGAACAAAGCTGTCAGTGGGACATGAGGAATTCCCTTGGCCACGAGATAATGACCCTGCGACCGGGGTCAGATTACAAGATACAAACGCTGGCTGCCTGCGAACTAAAGTACCGCTTCGTAACAGCCGTGGGCTAATAAGATCATTGATTCATGGCTGGCCACAGAACTAGCAATTTTGGATAGCTCATTTTAATGATGGAGACAAAAAAAAAACTACAGCAAATTCTGAAAATGCTCTCAGAGATACAAAATCAGAACAATTGAGTCCAAGCCAAAAATCTACACTACAGGGGGGTTTTTTTTGCTTTGTATGGGGGGTGGGGGGTGGATCTTACCTCAACCCAAGCATCAATATAACTTCATTTGAGCTAAAGGGACATTCGCTGAAAGCCCCACCGGTATCAGATCTTGGAATAGTACTCTTATTAATCGGGAAAATAAAAGATAAGAAAAATTTGTTAAATAAAACAGTCAAACAAACAGAATCCTCTACTTGACTACAAACATGTTCCTGAGGATCAGACAGGTTAGCATAGAAGAATATTAAAGACTAATTAACAACTGTTACATAAGGTGTCTGTTTGTTTGAGTAAAGAGAAGCACATCTACACAATAATGGTCATTTAAAGCTGGGAAAAAATAAGACAAACATACAGAAACAACAGATGGAAAGCAAAGATGTAGAACCTACCAGTGGCACTCTCCAACCACACGCCATTACACAAGAGGAACATATTCAAAATACAAAGGTGAAAAATTACTCTAAAATATGAAAGCATGATTATCTACCACCAGCAACCAATCCATCTCACAAATCTTCAACAAAAAAATACTCAATTTTTGCACCCTGCATAAGCACTTACCAGATGTACTATCAGCAGTTCGCGATCTCTTTACCTCAGCTGGCAAATAAACAAAGAAAGTAGAAAGCAATTAAAGCAAAAATTGTTCAAGTACAGTTCTAACCTTAGAAATAATTATAAGAAGAAGAAGAAGAAGAAGAAGAAGAAGAAGAATACAGTGGAATTCAGATTCAAAGAAAACTCGAATTCAAGGAAAGGAGTTAGATTCCCAGTTTCATTCATTATCACAAAAATAATAGCTCTAAATTAACGAACATGTAAATGAGAAGGGACACTTTCAGTAACGAGTGATGACATCTGGCGTTGTTCACATCTTCACATCATCAACGCATGGACGGGATAAATCAAGGTATTGTCTATTGAGGGATGATATTCTACTCTTGAAATAAGTCTTCTTCTTACTGAGCAAGGGACTGGGGCAGGCGTGGTCTGGCACAAATGGCCCAATCTAAAATGTCCCACAAGCGCTCAATTGGATTGAGATTTAGTGAAAGAGCAGGTCAAGGGTGCAGGAGAGGAATGTTGTTAGCTTTAAGAAATTGATTAGTCACAGTAGCCTTCTGAGCAGGTGTATTATCATGAAACGAATGCTTGTCCTTGGGCTTGAATTTGAAAGAAAAGCACATTGGGCTAAAAAATTTGGGTTGATTTTAGCCTTGAGCTGTGCATGTAATGCTTCCCACAAGCATGGTGTGGTCTCGTCAGTATCACTGATTCCAGCCCACACCATGACACAACCTCCACCGAAATTACTTGCTAGCCTGAAGCAAGCTGGGATATAACCTTTAGTTGGGTCTTCTGTAGACTCTGGCCTGTACATCATGCTGTTCCAGTCGAAATTGGGACTCATCTGAAAACATGTATGTATTCCAAATCACGTGATGAGCAACACTGTGCCCAGTGAAGTCTGTACTGGATGTGATGGGGCTGCCGTTTTATGCGACAAAATAGGCCTCTAGCACGAAGGTTTCCCTCTTTCAGACGAAGAAAAACAGTTATGACAAAGATCGAATGGGTCTTTGTTTGTCGGTTGAAATTGATTTCTCAAGCGTTGCGTTAAGATGAATGTGTCCTCCCTTCATTTTGTCTTTCTGAGTCCAGTTTGCTTGGGTCTATCCTTTTGGGAGTTTATCACTGCCATGTGACCCCATGTGGCATACATAGTGTGTCTGTTCATGCTGAACCTCCTCGCGACTAACGCAAGCGCAGTGCCCACCTGAAGCATCTCAATGATGTGATTTCTTTCTGATTCCCTCAGCTGGAGCATGGTGAATCAATGAATAGAAGCCACTTTTTATGTGGCAAAAAATTTTGAAGGAGTCCAACTTTGTGTGTTTAGTTTTTGTTTTCAAAGTTACCCACACATTTTCACAGTATTTGACATTTATCAAAACCCTATGAATGACATCTCGGACAAAAACGATAGACCAGTGCACCATAGTGAGTACTGTTCAAGAATGACAATGAGCTTGTGTGACGTGTGAAAATTTCAAATTAATTGGTTAAAATGCGTGAAGTTAAAAATGTTTAAGAGTATAAATAGTATCATTGCTATGTTAATTTATTCAAGGGATATGGATGTTAGAAATTTCACGAGCAGATGGCCTTAAAGTTAAGCTGCAGTATCAAAATCATTGCTTAACTATGATAATGTGCTTCTTTGACAATAAACTCTTCATATTTACTCCTGAAATGTTTACCATCAATCTTCTCAAATGTGCTATACAAACAATAAAATGTCAATGAAATGAAAAGGAGATCTAATTAATAATGATGACACCACAATTTTCACTCATAACTCATCCACATCCAAGTCACAAACATCTTACTTGGATCACGTTCCACATCTTCATGTTCAGACTCTCGTCTTTTTCTGTCTGTTGGTCCAGCCACATCCCTTGATCGGTTCCATTTGCTCAAAGTTTTGCGAGGTGAGTCTAATTCATAAGAAAAAAAATTCGAAACTTTGAATTGAAATATTATATATTCAAACATTAAACATTTTAAAAATGGAAAAGAATGAATGAATAAAAAATGTTGACCAGAAAATAGAATATTTCTTGACAGAGACATCTAATGTCAATGGAGAGTATTGGAGAGGCCTTACTTACATATAAAGACTTGGCCATCTTTTTAATGCCCAAAAGTAAAGACATTTAATTAATTGTCTATATTTTGTTGAGTTGTCCTACACAAAAAGAAACTACTCTACTGGAAACAACAGACAAGTTTAAGTCCAATGGCAAATGTAAAGTAATCTTTGTGCATACTGTGCACATACTTGGTATTTTCAAATGAAACAGGAAAATTCAAACATAATGTGAAACATGCTAACCTGTCTAGGCATTCAACTGGTTAAAGCTTAAAATAATTTGCAAGGTCTCCTGCAAAAGCCATATTTAAAGCTTAGTTTTTAATATCAATTAATATTATTGTCATGTCATCTTGTGCTTCTCAGTTATGTTTTTTTAATAAAGTGGTTGTGCTTTGAAATACAAACTATCAAAAGATGATATGGCCTGTCAACTTTTCCCAACCATTAATATTAGAAACTACCTCTATGCACATTCATTCTATATTTTAGATGGCAGAATTCAATAAAAACTTAAAATCAACAGAAAAAAAGGCAATTAAATACTCACTTTGGCTAGAGGAGTGGGCCTGTTCAACACCCTGGTCCTCCTCTTTGTTGTAGGATTTTCCAAACAAGCTCACTCTGCCTGACGGAACTGAAGATTTCTGACTCGCACCAAAAAGGTTGCTTTCTGGTTTAGACGATGAGGTCGATGATGAAGGGCCTTGGGTGGAAAATGGCGATACTTTGACACCCACTTCAGACTTAGTTCCTCCAAACAAGGACTTAGGTTGTAGTGAACTAGTTTCTTTGGCTTTGAACAAATTTTGTTTCTGAAGGTCTGTGTTTGTTGACTGAAGTAACTGATGGCCCTGGGACCCTGTGCCTTTTGTTTTCTCCATTTTTACCATGGGGAGGCCAACAGCAGTTGGACGAGGTTTGTCTGGATCTCCGGCTACTTGCGGGTCAAGAATGGACTTTGGGGTGGCAGAGAGCAATGATGGTATATTCTGGGGAGCTGAAGATACACTCTGAGCACCACTTGCTTTCTGAAACAATGCTGAGTGCTGTGCGCTTGTTAATTGAGTCGCAGCTTTACCAAAGGGAATATTTGATTTTGAGATAGAAAATGTCCCGCTCCCAAAACCACTAGCTGTGGTTGACTTCCCTGTCTGAAACAATGAAGACTGAGATGGAGAGCTCTTCTCATTTTTACCAACTCCTCCAAACACAGACACAGCTGTCGACTTAGTCTGAAATGTTCCAAAACCACTAGAAGCTGGAACAGAAAATAAAGATGATTTTGTTTGCCCAAAGGGAGAGGTGTCAAAGGATTTCCCAGAGCTAGTCATACTGCTAGTCTGGAAAGTTGACCCACTACCAAAGACATTTGTTGGCTGTGATGTCTGAAACCCTGCACCAAACACAGATGACGCAGTCGTAGCAGCTTGAGTAGATTTCCCAAGTACGGAACTAGACGTATTACCACCAGAACTCTGTGCAGCTGCACCAAACAGAGGCTGAGCGCCAAAAACACTTGTGACTGAAGAAGTCGAATTTATGACACGACTCTGTGACTGTTGACCACCAGTTGTGGGAGGCACAGGAAATGATGAAGTAGAGGTTGAAGACGCTGATCCGAATAAATTTTGAGACCCAAATACTGGAGCTTGACCAAAACTTCCACCAAACACACCTGACGTTGAGCCAAACGCTGCTGTGCTGCTAGAGGTAACAGGAGCAGAGAAGGTCCCAAACACAGAGTTAGTCTGATCCATGGCAAGAGAATTTGAAGATGGGTGTGTTCAATCAACAAAGTGCATCGACATCAGTCATTTCTCATTTACAGACGATGAATGCCAATCAACTGAAGAAACAAAAGAGTAAAATTTTACTGTGTAAGTGTTGGGGGACAATTCTGAAACATGTTCTATTTCAAATCAGACTTAGAAGCACACTGATCATTTGAACTAGTCTACCCTTCTTACTGGGAACATTAATTTAAATTAATCTTAAACATGATCAATTGAACTTAAAAACATGATTCCCAAGCCAAAAAATATGGGAAGAGACCCTTGTACCAGTTGAAGTATCTAATCCAATCTCCTCAAATCAGTGGTAATGACACTTGGTCTCCAGGAGTTCTTTTGAAAAGAAATAAAATCTGTAGCATCCGTTCAAAGAGTTAGAGTGAATGGCAATACAACATCATGAACAAAGCCCACACATGCATAAAAAATGGCACAAAAATATGAATTATTGTACAAAAAATTGCAAGGAGCTATTATAAATTGCTCAACATTACCAAGGCCTTTCTGTCCATCAATCAAATGTTATGTTTATGTGAAGAAATTCAAATCAGATCATTACTTTTACTAGAACAACTGTAGAAATGCAGTCTTCTCCAGCAAAGACTATAGTATTTTTTACAAAAAAGGAAACTAGAACTAGATTGAAACTTGCCTGGAAACACTCTTTAGAGAGCACACTAACTCTCTTCCCAATTTAGCCCTACCTAAAACTATGAGACAACTTTTGCTACTTAACCATTATATAGCTGCCACTCAGGAATTTAAAAAAAGGAGGAAATTCACGTGAAGGCGTACTCGCGTCTCCGAAGGCCGGAGTGAAACCAGTGAGATCCAGAGGCAAAATATACTGGAAAATTTAGCCTATGGTTTCGGAAGGGAAAACTGTCACTGTCAACTGTTATATTTGTTAACCATAGGCAACAGAATTAAAATGTATTTGAAAGAAAAAAACAACAAGGTGCTAAGTTGACTAACCGAGCATTTGACAGTTTGGTGACGAAAAATCCAGTATTTGTAATTACCAGCGGGTGTCTCATAAAAAGATTTCTTCCACTTTAAACTTCTACATCGATGTAGAGCAGTATTGGATTAGATTAAGGAGGCAACACCTTTGCCGCTGTACTGAGCGATTTCGGCGCTCCTGAACAATTGCGGTCCTGTTTGCATTTTAGGTTAGTACACCTGTACCGTAGTGTGTTTCTTATTCTAAACTGAATTAAAATCATAGCCTAGGCTATCTAATCTAAAATCTAGATCTAGAATCTAGATATCTAAATATATGTGTAGATCCAGATTATATCTTGAGATAGACTATCTAGGCTATCTAGAGCTAGATTTAATCTATGATCTAGATTCACTTCCACAGCCACAATAGCCGTCGTGTAAACAAACAAGACAGCAATTGTACAAGGAGAGTGCCGTGATTTCTTTGCACCAAACACAAAGTGCAGCAAGCGGCTTGTTCAATTTTCTAATGAACTTTTGAGTCGCACACCAGCTGCTTCTTTCTCATACCAACTCTGTCTATTTATTTTTGCATTCTGCATCAATTTCTCTCGAATTTCCGCCTTTTCCAATGACAACTCGGTGCGCCACCTCCAGATGCTCGATCGACACTGTTGCCTGTTACTCCACAATTGACAATGTGAAACTAGTGCTTGGCACAGAAGAACAGAAGTAGAAAGTTACGGGCGGACATGCGCAGGGTGCATTTTCGTCTCTCTCCCGGTTCGGTGTTTTCCACAATTGGCGACCGAGAGCGGTCCTGCGGAGGAAGGAGGAAAGTAGCGGGAAAAGCTAGATGAAACGGAGTTTCCGATATTTAGAGGGAAAGTGGCAGCTATGCTGCTATGCATAACATACATGGGGGCCAGTGTTGCTTACTTTTATTCTTTTCTATCTTCTATTGAAACTGCTGGAGGTTGTATCACTTTGGAAATCACAAAATATTTTATATTTTATTTTATTTGCTATAACAAAAAGAAAAAATAAGCCTATAATATGTAGTGCACTAAATTTTCATTTCATGCATAAACTATTTAACCCTCGTCCTGCGGGAGCCGGGTTTATGTCGCCCGATAAGCCAATTTCGGTACCTCGCCTACGTTCTGGTCCTGAATCAGTGTAGCCCCTGGCTCAGCGCACGCACACCATCTTACGTGAAATTCAGGTCCGGAGTCGGATCCCCATTCACGCAGGTCAAGTGTGTGTGTGTCAGTCTGCTTGAGTTTGTGTGCGTTTGTGGCCTTCTTCTAGAACCGCCTGCCTTGGTTCGTAATCGAGGCATACGTCTCGTTCAAAACACGCCAAGATGGTAGCTCTAGATGTTCGTCCAATGAAATTATAGAAGAAATTGACCCACTTACACATGAGGAGCTCGAAAGGATAGTCAGGAAACAAGACTTCCATTTTTCTATACAAAATCTTTCAAATGAGCTTGATTTTGAATGAAATGATACTACCTGATAAAAAATAAGCTTGTTTGATAGTTTTGAATTTGTGCAGGTGCTGGTACAAAGAACAATTTGAGTGTAAAACATTCGGAAATTGACCCATATTATCCCCTTGCCTCCCAAAGTCTAACCCTTCGTCCTCGTCGGGGGAGGTGGAAACAGGACAAAGTAGGGGATAGCTGGGTCTGGGTGAAGTACAGTGTGACTTTATGTTACTGAGGCATTATGCTAGCCGTGAAGGCCGACCCGGGTCACCCCGAAACCTTGCTGGCTAAAGGGGCTCTGGTGAAACCGTGACTGGCCTAGCAAGCCGACGGCGGATAATTACTGCTACAAAAAAATCAAAGGAGAACAAGGACAGATTCAAACGGAAAACGACCTGGAAAAGTAAACGGACAGCGAGCTAGAACAACGATTAAAATAGGCACATGGAATGTCAGCAGACTTGGAGACAAAGAACCAGAAATAGTGGATTTCATGGAAAGAAAGAAAATAGCAATCATGGGCTTGTGAGATATAAGGAAGAGAGGCAACCACAGCAAGCTGACCCATAAAGTCTACCTACTGATCTGGAGCGGAACACCTAAAAATGAGAGAGCCAAACATGGTGTAGCTTTCATCATACACCCAGCCAAAATGGATACAATCTATGAAATCAATCAGAGGTCTCAGAGAGAATAGTGAGCATAAAACTCATAGAAGGTGGCAAAACAACTACGTACATCCAAACATACGCTCCCTGTAACGACAGCTATACAGAGGAAGATAGACAATCATATTTCCAAGACCTGAGTGACCATATTAACACCATCAAGAACAAAGAAGATATGTTTATCTTGGGAGATTTAAATGGCAGAGTTGGACGGAGAAGAACCCCATGGGAGGAGTACTTGGGACCCCACAGCGATAAAGATACAGACTGCAACAGCAATGGAGAAATGATACTAAACCTATGCGCTGAGCACGACATGATGATTACGAACACATTTTTCCAACATAGACAAAGCCAAATCAAGACCTGGTACAAATGGAGTGACCTGAACCATGCTTCACAAATTGATTTCATCCTGATGCGCAGAAAACAAAGACATACAGCCAAAGTTTCGAGAGTGGTTCCAAGCTACATCCTCGACACGGACCATAGACCTGTGATACTTACTCTCACAACCCACAATGCAAAACAAACAAAGAAAAACAGGGGAAAAACCACGACTAACCTAAGAAAATTGGAAGAACCAGACATCAAGAAAGCAGTCGAGGATGACATTACCAAGGAGTACTTTAAACTGTCACCTGAGATCAAAATCAAGGACATAGAAGACGAATGGCAAATATTCAAAAAATCCCTGTCAGAAATACTAAAAACCTGTTGTGGCACCAAACGAAGAGGTGGAAACAAAGGCAGAACAACAAGCTGGTGGAATGATGAAACCAAAGAAGCAATTAGAATGAAAAAGAAGAAATTCAAGAAATGGCAGAAGTCAAAGACCAAAGAAGACTACAGGAAAGCGAGAAGAGAGACCAAAAGAATCATCAAAACTGCTAAAGAAAATGCATGGAAAATATATGGCAACAAAATGACCAAAATCTGTAAGGAAAGCCGAAGTGAATTTTTTAAAAGTGTGAAGAGCATGCGGATAAGGAAAGACCCATACAACCCGACATGCATTATAAATCATAAAGAGGGAAACGCCATTCTCGGCAAACATGCAATCAAGAAAAGATGGGAAAATTACTTCCAAGAACTGCTCAACCCAGACGCTTGCCACGGACAACAAGTAGAGTTCCAACAGGAGGAAGGAAATACAGACTGGTTCAAAGTAAGATCTGGAGTACGACAGGGATGCGTTCTATCTCCCCTCCTGTTTATAATATATATGGACACAAAAACGCAAGAAGCAAACCTTAACCCAGAAAGCCTAAATGAATTTCTGTTCGCAGACGACCAATCATGTCCAATGTCTATTTCATCATGACCAACAAAGCCTCCAAAATCACACTACCAAACTCAACAACACCTGTGAGAAATTCAACATGAAAATAAGCACATATCAAAAACAGAAATGAAAGTGAGCCAAAACCATAGTCCCCTGAACATCCATGTCAATAGTAAACAACTGAAACAGGTGAAAGAGTTTAAATACCTTGGCAGCACTTTTTCTGAAAACGGGTCCATAGACAGAGAAATAGAAATGCAAACTCAAAAAGCCAACGCTGTCACCTACCAGCTCGCACCATCTCATCCAAACATCTCCATGGACACAAAGAGACAGCTTATCACTTCAATATTCATCAACATTATGTTATCAGTGCCAGACCTGGACCTTAAGCAAAACCCATGAAAGCAAAATCACAGCATGCGAAATGAAATGTCCTCGCAAAACCCTTAACATCGCAAGACGAGACAGGCAGAGAAATGAAGTAAGAGCAGCTATCGGCACTGAGTCCTGCCTGCGTTACATAGAAAGACAGGGATAAAATGGTTTGACCACCAGTTACGCATGTCACCAGCCAGCCTTGAGAGCCTACAACACCAAGCACTCAGGCTATAAAGAAAGAGGAAGGCCACGCAAAAGGTGGATCGAGGGTGTCAAGGAAACCCTAAGAAAACATAACATCACAACTGAAAGAGCTGCGGAGCTGGCCTACCATAGAAAACTGCATCTCCCCTCGACGCTTAACGGCAACAGAGGATTAAAAAGTAAAAGTAAAGTAAGTATTACTATTATCCCCTTTCGAACCTCAGGTCATTCATAACAACAAGAATGTCCAGAAAGGTATAATACGAATGGGCGTAACTACTAGTAGTACTAGTAATGTCTTATAGCTTGTGAGAGGGGGCTATTCATGTGTTTGTTTGTTTAAACACTTTATAAATATAGAAAGCTATAAAAGATAGAGCGTTATTTTCATCATCGATTACACACTCCCACGGTATTCATGGTGAAAACACACGTTTCCCGGCGCGCGCGCTGTACACCAACAGTACACACTGAGTGACCCCGGCGGCCTGCCCGGCACGTCCGATGTACTCGGTTGCTGATAAGATTCACATCCCGGCACAGACGCAGGACAAGAGCTAAAGACTAAAGTAAAGGCAGCAGTTCAGTAAGGGAACAAACTGCTCTGAACATGAAGCTACAGAGGCTTTGATAACTGTATTTGTACAGCCTTTCAATATTGTGATGTGTTGTCAAAGATAATGTCCAATGTGTGTCCTTTCTTGTACATAACAATACAATGATGACATGTTCTGTGCACTGCGTCATTGTTACAATGCGCTTGTCATTCATATTACCGGGAGGACTTCCGTAACGAGCGACCACTATGAGACAGAGCAGAATTGAGGGCTTGGACTTGGACTTGGAGTGTAGGGGTAGGGGTAGATCTAGGGGTAGGATTAGGGGTAGGGGTACTGCCGGGGTAGGGTTAGGTCTAGGCCTCTTCTTTATTGTGTTTGATGGGGTGGTCGCTCGTTACGGAAGTCTTTCCATATTACCTATTACTACAAAATCGCCGACTGAACAGTAGAACTTAATTTTAATCCAACTTTTTTGAGTTAGGGCGAGATCAGTGAGCCCAACTACACAACACCCAGCACCAAACCCGAAATTCAACGTAAAGCGATACCTAAATTCTTATAACTTGACTTACAGCCTTCATTTATACGACGAGAAGGGGGACCCCAAGAAAGAGAACTGGCTCAGCTAGTAGATCTAGCAGATCCAGACGAACTGCACTGCAACTGTGTGTGTTTAATCAAAGATTGTATCCATAAATTTTGAAGCTCATATTCTGTTGGGGTTTTTTTGTACGATACCACTAATACGATACTTAATAGAAGGAATCGATACCCAACATTAGCACAAAAATTATATAGTCGAACATCACAGAATTCTACACTTAGGTGTAGAATTCTGTGTTGAACATTAAAAATAGGCTAGAAAGGTTTACATGTATTGTTATTCGCCAAAAGAAGATATTTCAAACCGTAATTAATGTTTTATTTTCTCAGAAGCTGTTATTTTTCCCTCAAAATTTCAGTTAATTCTGCATAAGAATACTAGTATTTACAGCAGCTGACTGAGGTTCTTGCATCATAACATTGTTAGTTATTATTTCTCCCAGTCTTCTGAAAAATAGCTCTTCAAAGCGGACAAAACTGGCATGTGATCAATTCGATACCAGAAACAAGAACAAAGATAGTGAATGACAAGATGGGCCACTCAGCCAAAAAAGTGTCCGCAGGAAGTATGCTCTTTGCTTCAGATGGCGCTGCAGTCTGTTTTGAAGCTCTCTTTCGTTTTTCCAGAAGAAGAATAGGAATAGCACCTCCTTGCGTGCGCAGATCGACTGCTGTTCATCAGCAGTTCGGGTACGTTCAGTGCGGAGTTTTAGTTTTTTAAAATTTTAATGACCTCTCGCCTTTCATTCTAAAGTCAAATTAAACGAAGAAAACCATCACCCTTTCCTCAGGAAGAGGTTTTTTGTCAGCGTAGCCATTTAAAAAAAGCGTTCTTCCGAAATTTACCCCAAAACTTGCTAGTTTCACTTTGATTTGTTTAAACTCAAGTAGGGTAACTCTGTTCCCAAAGAGTGCGCTTTTGTGAAGAGGGCGCCACCAAATTTTGAGGACACTTTTTTAATTGGCTCAAAGAGAGAAGTGGCCCATCTTGTTATGTACTATCATTGACAAGAACTAGCCCTAGTCAAAGATAGTGAATAACAAGATGGGCCACTCAGCCAAAAAAGTGTCCGCAGGAAGTATGCTCTTTGCTTCAGATGGCGCTGCAGTCTGTTTTGAAGCTCTCTTTCGTTTTTCCAGAAGAAGAATAGGAATAGCACCTCCTTGCGTGCGCAGATCGACTGCTGTTCACCAGCAGTTCGGGTACGTTCAGTGCGGAGTTTTAGTTTTTTCTTTATTTTAATGACTTCTCGCCTTTCATTCTAAAGTCAAATTTAACGAAGAAAACCATCACCCTTTCCTCCGGAAGAGGTTTTTTGTCAGCGTAATCATTTTTAAAAAGCGTTCTTCCGAAATTTATCCCAAAACTTGCTAGTTTCACTTTGATTTTTTAAAACTCAAGTAGAGTAACTCTGTTCGCAAAGAGTGCGCTTTTGTGAAGAGGGCGCCACCAAATTTTGAGGACACTTTTTTAATTGGCTCAAAGAGAGAAGTGGCCCATCTTGTTATGTACTATCATTGGCCTAGTTTATAGAACTCTTTACATTGTGTGAACAATAAAGGAATACAAGGAAGGGGTCATTCCGTATAGGATTAACGTAGCCCATACCCATCTTTTAGAAAAAATGCTGACGCCATGTCCTTTTCATGCGTGAAGTGCCATCATTGTCACCCTCATCAACTTCATTGCAGTAAAGTAGCACAAGAACCTTATAATAATATCATCAAAGTCGAATCTGCTATTACAGTCACCTGTATAATACGGCCACCTGTACAAAAAGCCACTCTCCACCCCCACCCTTGTGTTCTTTTTCTAAATATCTATCTAGATTATATAATTATAATTACTGTGTAAAACGGGGCAACGGCCACACTTTTTTAACAACGATCAAACAAAATTACTTGTCTTAGCAAGGGCACCCAAATCTCTTATCGTCCGACGCTGTCATAAAATATAGTTTGGCCCCTGCCGCTGTGGGCGAGCCGTCATCATCCTTTCACCTGTCGTTATTTTTAGTCTCTTCTATGTCCAATCAGAGAGGGTTTGGTCCAATCATGGGTTGTTTACCCAGGTTGACCACCCGAACAATAAATGTACAGCTGCTGGTGAAGGAAGCGTGTGATCCGTCATAATCTGTCTGTAAGTCCCGCCCACAACTCGTGCGCAAATTGTAAGTGAGGTGACCGGTCGCTGGTGACAGAAGCGGCGCTCGTTCTCTGAACAGTGGCGACCCATTTATTAATTTTACCTTGTCTTACACATTTCGTTTTGTTTTACCCTTGCAAAATTATTCCTCATTTGATACTCTATAGAAATTATGTAACCTTTATTACAGCAGTCGGTGTAGGTAGGTAGGTAGGTAGGTAGGTAGGTAGGTAGGTAGGTAGGTAGGTAGGTAGGTAGGTATGCATGCATGTATGTATGTGTGTATGTATGTATGTATGTATGTATGTATGTATGTATGTATGTATGTATGTATGTATGTATGTATGTATGTATGTATGTATGCATGTATGCATGTATGCATGTATGCATGTATGCATGTATGCATATATGTACAGTGGAACTCGGATTCAACGAGGTCGCCTGACCTAAAATCTCGTTGAATCCGAGTGTTCGTTACACCAAACGTGAGGTTTTGTGTAGATAATATAATTACAGGCACTGAGCAAGTAATGCATAAAGAGAAGTCACAAATAGCGCCTGAAATACCCGCATGTTATGAGCTGTGTAAAAAAAAAAAGACCGATTCGTTCAAATGCACGCCTGTGTCATCTCGATTGTTTACCACAAAGTTGTGTTGCTGTGTAGATCCTAGCATAACGGCAACTTCTGATTTCATAGACAAGCACACAATTCATTACGAAGATCTACGTCAAGACTAGTTATCATTGTAGCAATGATCAGTTGCCGAGGGAAAAAAAAAAGACTGTGACGCGTTTGTATCTGCGATGTTCAACGCCCGGATCGCTAGTGCAGCTCCCCCCTCCCCTCCCCGACACACACACACAGTCACATGTGTGCAGTGTTGGTATGGGGAAAAAAAGGCCGCTGATTGGTCGCATGCAATCGGCTAAGAGAATAATGGTTCACGATGCAGTTGCAATGGATGGTTTCTGGGAATAGATAAAGTTCGTTAAGGGAGAAAAATGAGCGAAGCCACGTCTGCGGGGGGCAGTTAACCCTGGAAGCGACCTCGTTGAATCCGAGCTGGCTGATTTAAGTGCTCGTTGAATCCGGGTTATTTTTACTGATTTTAAAGAAGAAGAAAAACGGGGAATCCACCTCATCTCGTTGAATCCGGGTTCTCGTTGAATTCGAGTTCCACTGTATGTATGTATGTATGTATGTATGTATGTATGTATGTATGTATGTATGTATGTATGTATGTATGTATGTATGTATGTATGTATGTATGTATGTATGTATGTATGTATGTATGTATGTGTATGTATGTATGTATGTATGTATGTGTGTGTGTGTGTGTGTGTGTGTGTGTGTGTGTGTGTGTGTGTGTGTGTGTGTGTGTGTGTGTGTAGGTTATATATATACTATAAAAACCTCGTTATACCGCCAGCCCCGCTTACCGCCAGGTTTTGCCAATGTAGCCTATTAAAAGGATCACCTACATAAACATAGCATTTATATCCACGTATCGCCATCAGCCAAATATCTGCGTTGAACAGTCCCTGTTTAACCCTTTCCCCATGTCGTTATTCAAAGTAGTCAAATTCAACTGTCCTGAGTGTCAGAGCACCTATAAAAAGTAGCAAAATCCTAATCCCCTGACGTGGGTGTCGTAGCATCCACGCTCTCCAGTACAGATCAGCAACCTGCAGATAGCATGAGCATTGACTTTTTATTTATTTATTTTTTTTATTAACTAATGTAATTTTACCTCCTTACACTGCCAGTGAATTGCCTGCCAGAGATGAACACTAGGCCTACACACAGTGTATGGCACTGACTCGGTGGCTTCGTGATAGTCTCTTTCCCTCACGCATCTCTGTGAGTTCTGCCTATTTCTAACACTTGTCGCTGACTTTCTCCTGGTTTGCTCTAATTATGTACATGCTGTTATTTTTAGGCTTTCGTCAATAGTTTAAAGTCGCTGGCGAAACTTCAAATTAATGATCTGCCTCACCTCGGCCTGGCGGCAAAATATTTGGCCTTGCCAGATCAGCCCAATGACCAAAAACCTGGCAGGCGCCCGTGAGACTTTTATATTACTCCATGAAGGTCTGAGTTAGTCTGAAGACTGTTGAGTGTTGGGTTTTTTAAAAAGTACGTCTTTAACAAATAATATAGACCAGCTTCTTTCTCCTTTGCATGTCAATCGCGCATGGCAGATCTCGGTGAGTCAAGACCGGCAACGATTTTGTTTCTAGTCTCCACCACTAGTCAAGATGGCAATCAGTGCATTCCTGTTATACTGTCAGCCCCGTTGTACCGCCAACTACATGCTCAACCCAAGGTAGGTGGTATAACGGGGTTTTACTGTATGTGTCTTCACGCGACTGCAGATTCCCCACACACAACCGAAATGTGTAGACTATATCATGTAGTATTATGACATGGAAACCTTTATCAACATACTTTCACTCTAAAACTTTGCTAAAATTAAATCCAACATCTAAGACAATGCAAGATGAGCAGGTAGAGTAAGTTTATTATCAAGCAAGTTTTACACAGCCAATGAGTTCAAAATCCAGGTACATAAAGCACAACTGATTGGATTCCTGAGAACATAAAAAAACAATACTACATGTCAAAATGAAGGTGGAACATTGAGCAAATGTTAAATACACGACATTGTTCCTTCATCTGATCTTGAGAGCTCAGATCTGTGAAGCCGCGTGAAGACAATACAAACCATAAAAATGTGAGCATTTTAAGTATGTGTAAACAATAACAATAAAGAGTTGCAAAACTCTTATTCTCAAGCCCTTAAATCCTAAACAAAACCCAGACTATAGCAATGAACGGATTAAGCCACTATGTTTGATCCAGCTGTTCTAGAAGTGTTTGTTGTTACTGCTCCAACAGTTTTTGGTATTGTGCCCTTTTGGATCAAAACAATGGTATAGATGACTGCAGTCTGAAAGTTGTTCCCTTTTGCAGGACAGGGCAGGTTGTTGTCTAAGAATACT